TCCCCTTTAACCCTAGTATTCTCCTTATATTTATTCTTAGTATTGGGCCGAGACCTTCCCCCTTTGTAGTTTAGAGAATAGATATTTATATTGTATTTTCGAAACTTATAATTAATGACTCATCACATATCCGATTTATTAAGTCGGTTGTGTAAAGAATCAGACTACTTGAATACTATAACGGATCAGGTTACTTGGATTTGAACACTGCATTCGAAATTTCATCAATTATTTTTTATAAAAAGAATAATTGAATTTGACTAATCTTTTTATACCTACAATTAAAGATATTTAAAAAAAACATCTAAATAACCACGATTATACGACTAATCATATATAAGATTTTGAAAAAATATCACAAACTTTTTTATTAAGAACACTTTTCTCAGATCGTATCTTTTCTTAAAATGGACTAAAATATTATTTGTTAAACATAAATGAATATGGGTATTTGAAAATTAAATGTTTGCCTATTCAATGAGATATGTTGAATATATTGTATCTTAAATGTTCAATCATTCAAATGAATTAAATTTTTACTTTTTTTTTATATTTTTACATATTATATATATATATATTGTGATTTTATTTATTTAGTTTGTATATAGAAATATAAATTTATTTGTCACTTAATTATAATTTAAAGGGAATAATTATTTTAAAAAAGTTATCATTTATAGTTAGAAGTTGTATTTTTAACTTATGATATATTGGAAAGTAAGTTGTTATCCTTCAAACTAATCATTCATAGTCTAGTCTATTATAAGAATGTATATCTTTAAATAATACATTAAAATATATATAAAAAAAAAACTAAAGATGAAAAAATGAATTAGATTCGACGAGGTTCGTCAACTCGTTTAAAAAATAATAAAATAAGTTGATAGTTTTAATCTATCAATTTATTTTAATCCGTCTCGTGGCCCGTCAACTCAACAGGTCATAGCGAAATAGGGGAAGTAGTCCTTTTTAAAAAAAAATTTATATATTAAAATTAAAATTAAAATTATTATAATTAAAAATATATATTTTTTGTGTCATATTATTAAAATTTGTAAATATAATATAATATTATAATTTAATTTATTTATTATAATTAATTATTTTAATACATAAATATAATAATTTTTTTACTTGATTTAATAAAAATATTAATTAATAAATAAAATTTTAAAAATTATTCATATAATTAAAGACATATAATTAAAAAAAATAAGTTAATAATAAATTAATTTAATAATTATTAATCTATTTTATTGATTAAGATTTAGTCTATATTTCACGAAATAAATTAAAATTTATAATCCATTTTAATTAGAATTAACTAGAGAGGAAACACACAACTATAAAACACAACAATAAAACGGAGTGATTCATCTTACTAGCGTCCCTAATAGAAATAAAGAGATATTATTAGAATTTTTTTCCTTAATTTATGTTTTTAAATATTATTTATGTTAATAACTCATGTTTTAAATATGTTTATTTATTCACAATAATTTATTTTATGTTTTCAAAATAAGTACATAGGATGTTATTTAATAAAATAAATATTTATAATTATTATTTTAAAACCAGATATATTTTACATTTTTAAAATACTAGCATCCCTATGCACTTGTAGATCGGAGATAGTCTTATTTTGGGCTACAAACGTAGAGCTTTAACGTCAACCCAGTAAGCTCAGGGAGGACCTGGGCCGAATCACAGGATGAAGGATACAATAGTAATTTCATTGCAGACGAAAATTAGGGTTTCATTTCATGATCGCCTATTTAATCTACAACCCACCCCTACACAGCCTCGCTCGCTACTTTTTGTGTTCTTCAATCCTGTAAGTACTTGCATCGTTGCGTTGAATATTATCTTCAGGTTCTTCAATTTCATTTATTCTTTGTAGTTCGGCTTTTCGTTTGGCCAGTGATGCATAATCAATTTGTCCGTACCATCTGAGACTCTGTCTCTGACGAATACTCAAATGCTTGAATCTGAGGCCATTGCTCTCTCAACATTTCTGAATAATAATTGTTTTCTTTTTATTCTTTCGTGTAACGCCTGCGTGATTTTAGAGCGTTAGCCAATGCACCTTTAGGTTGTTCATATTTATTTATTGGGCAGTTGTGGTCTACTGGGAATGAAAAGGCAATAAATTAGAGTCTCTGAGTAGCCTATTCCATGGCGATATCAGCGCTGTACGTTGCCGATAAGAATTTTGAGCTGAGAGATTGGCGTGGGTCTATATAGGCTCATGCATTCAAATGTTCATACACTTTTTTCAGGTTTTTGTCATAAAATCTTATTTTCGAGGACTTTTTTTCCCACGCGTGCTGTAATACATGGGCTATGTTGAATAGAAACGTTTATTTTCGTCAAAATTTTTCTTTTGTCATAATATTCCATCGATTTTAGGAGAAAACTGTGTTTATTCCATCGATTAAGATTAGAACTGTGTTTTTTCCATCGATTAAGATTAGAACTATGTTTTTTCCATCGATTAAGATTAGAACTATGTTTTTTCCATCGATTAAGATTAGAACTGTGTTTTTTCCATCGATTAAGAGAACAACTGTGTTTTTTCGCTTAATTATAGTATTTCATCAATTTAATTAGATTTTTGTTTTTATTCTACGTTCGAACTTGAAGATTTGAAGATGAATGAGAACGGGGAAGATCCTGCGTATCAATGGAATTAAAAAAAAAAGATAATGAAATTATCTAAATCAAATAATAAATTAAGAATAAAATCAAATAAAAATACAGAGAATTTACACCATAAACAAATAAATTGCAATTAATAATCCAGAGAATAACTTTTTAGTTATGATAATAAATAGTATCATTTTTAAATAAATGAAAAATAAATAAAATGTCTCTAGCATGAAAAGTTTATTTTAAAATTAATAATAACTTTAATTTAAATAGAACTAGTGTAATTTTTCATGTTAACATTTATTTAGCTAAAACTTTAATTTATTTAAGTTGAAGAAATTACAAATAATTAGAAATTTGTTAATATATATAGAGATTTTAATGAATTTTAAAATAATTATTTTAATTTAATCATTTTATATTGTTTTTGACATATTAATTCCTTTCAAGTACTATAATAAAAAAAATTGCTTATCTTATAAGACCTATGAAACAGTTTATTTTATTTTAATAAGTAAAAAAAAAAAAAACTAAAGTAATGTAAGCCATAAATCCTATAATTGAATTAAAAAAAAAATTGAAACATAATGGTATACCTTTAATTATAATTAAAGCAAACTACATATCTTGATAACAAATGTAGATGTACGGAACGAGTGATGGTGAAAAAATGACCGACAAAAGTAAGAATTAGAGATGATCTGAGACTGAGACTTAAAAAAGAGCTCAATAAACTTATGCAAAAATCAAAAGTAAAATAATGAACATTTGGAGAAAAATATATTCCTTAAATTGCATTGTCCATTAACTTTTGCATTGTGATATTTGTAGGTTCAACTACTCTTGGAGCTTCAATTCTTATTCAGAGTTTATTTTCATATATAAGGAAGCAATGTTACGTTCTGACAATGTTCACCAATAAAGAGAATTCATTAATTAAAATTCTTAGTTTATATAATTCAAACCAAACAAATCAAATCTGATAATAATTAATTTAAAAATTAAATTTTATATCATTAACTATAATTATTATATTAAAAATTTATAAGCCTGTGACCGCTTACATGAATACATACAAGACATTTTATTGGGTAATTTCTTTTTATGTTTTCCCCTTCGGTCTTTTAGCAAAGACACACAGATGCAATATTCGTTATTCATTCGAGGAATGCATTGAATCGATTGTTTATCTCTCAAGACAACTGAAGCCGAACACACAAACACAAACAAGATATGGCCAATGGGTGTGGTCCATGAATGATGAAGTATGGGTTACCAAGCAATGAATAATTAATTCACCCTTGGGCATGAGTTGTAAGAGACGTTGCCCAAGTTCTTCTGCACATTCATTCATTCATCCTCAATAGTCCACAGAGGTACAGGGTACATCGGCAATGATACAAAAACGAAGGAACCCAAAACTGGAATTGCACGCATTTGCATTGGTTTGGACCACATCTACGACTTCGTTCATATTTTTGGCAAAATATGAGAGAGAGAGATTGAGGCCCACATCGAATGTCACCTGCATTCCGGCAAGTAATGGATGGTTTCCTTTCCTCCAGCGATATAATATCTGTCAGTCGGTGCCTTGGGCCACTGGGCCCGCCATTACTCCAGCCCATCACGCGTTGTTGATGTCCGTTAAAGGGTAGCATAATAAAATTTCACCATCCGACCTTCCCAACAAATTCAGTAAATGACACCAAATCTTACAAATAGAAATAAAGACACAATTCAAGCAATTATTTTGCTGGAACATTTTTTTATTCTTTTAGTTTTGTAAAATAAAGTGAGATTTTAAAGTTTATTTCGAAAGAGTTTTTCTTCTTCTCACACCCATACCCAAACAATATTATTGTTTTCACTTTCAAATTATAAGATTGTTTTGAAAATTTTATTTATTGTGATTTTATCTTAAAAAAAAGTGTATTAATGAATTAAGAGACGAAAATTTATATAAACTAGACATGGTTAAATGATGTGAAACTTACCGCGATAGTTTTTTTTAAACATACATAAACAAACACAAATTTGAATAATGTCATTTTTTTAAATGATTGGAACGAGAGATGAATTGGGAAGCAGTGAACAATATCATGGATGAGTTACTTGACTGGTAGTTTGCTTTATAACTTGGAGTATCGCCACGTTCATCCAGACACAACACAATCTACACGCGCGCAGTGTCACAAGGAAAGGAACAGGAAGCAAAAGCAAACCCAAATGGTTCCGACGGAGCTCGATCTAAGTGTGATCTCATGTTTCGGCTCTGACTATGTTTGATTTGGGTGTCGAAGGAGAGTGTGGTGTTATTAATAGGAGTGTGAGGAGTGGAAGTAATAGAAAAGATGAACAACAGTGGTGGAGGAACTTTGATGGGTTTGAGCAATGGTTATTATGGGAGGTCGCCATTCACAGTGTCTCAGTGGCAGGAACTGGAGCACCAAGCTTTGATCTTCAAGTACATGCTTGCGGGTATTCCTGTGCCTCCTAATCTCGTGCTCCCTATTCAGAAGAGCTTCGATTCTTTCCCACATGCTTTCTTTCACCACCCCACATGTTAGTTTTCCAATCCCTTTTCTTTTCTATACGAGGAAACTTGTTTTGGTAGAGCTTGCATTTTTTTTTTTTCATGTTTTAAACAACTCAAGTGTTCTGCGCCCACAGACAATAAAAGATTATATTTTTTTTTTAATTTTACTTTTGAGTTTTACTTAAAATGTTTGATTATTATAAACGATCCTTTCAATTTGGTGTTTCCTGTAACTGCTAGTAATGGTGCCATTTATGTGCAGGCAAGATCAATGCTTTTCTTTCAACCCTAAAGGCTTCACATGGTTATTTTTTATTACCCTTTGCCCCTGAATGACTTAACGACCTTATTTATAGTGTGGAAGGATAAATTAAGCTTGTTTCGAAATTGTAATTTAAGAAGGAGACTAGCATGATATTATCTTTACATTTTTGAAGGGTTTTCTTTTGATTTGTGCAATTAAACTCAATAATTACATGGTGAATATATTTGCTATCATAGTTGGCATCTTTTATACGGATTTTCTTTTACCTTTCTGGATGAAATTATTGAGACGCATATTTATGTAACATTGGGTATTCAGTTCTGGAGATTTTGAACCTGTTAGCTATGTAAAATGTGTAGAAAACTTCTATTTGTGTCTTTATTGCTGCCACTGTTACAATGTCTCAATAATCTTAAAGTTGGTTTTGCTACCATATCAGATAAAACTCGATTCTACAAAATTGGATTTAATGGTATTTTTAGAGGATTAGAGATTTCAATATGCTGAGTCTGGGGTGTGCTTGAGACGTTGGTAATAAAAAAGCTGTGCATGACAAACTTTGCAGTGAGTTATTGTTCCTTCTATGGGAAGAAGGTGGACCCAGAGCCAGGACGATGCAGGAGGACTGATGGAAAAAAATGGAGGTGCTCCAAGGAAGCATACCCAGACTCCAAGTACTGCGAGCGTCACATGCACCGTGGTCGCAACCGTTCAAGAAAGCCTGTGGAATCACAAACTATGACTCACTCTTCTTCAACTGTTACATCCCTCAATGTCACAGGTGGAAGTGGCAGCACTAGAACATTAAACTTCCAAAACCTTACTGCAAATGACTTTGGTAATCTCCAGGGTACTGATTCTGGAACTGACCCTACCAATTATCATCTACATTCCATTCCTTATGCGATCCCCAGTAAAAAACACAGGTACAGAAATCCTTATCTTATTTTGCATCAGTTGTTTGCATGGAATTCGAAAGGACTTATGCTATGAAAATATATCTTTAATTAAGGTCGTATTGCTGTTCTGTGGAACTGGCTTCACTTCTTTATATTCTTGAATTTTAATATTTTAGTCTGAATTGGTGTCATTTTTTTTCCTTTTAAAATTAATGTGAGAATAGATTTCTGTATGTGGATAGAGACATATTTATAAGGTGGATTTCTAATTTTGTCACAGGATCTGCAGGAATTTCGACTAGTTGTTAGAATGTTATTCACTTCAGAAGTATCTTCATCTTTCTGTCTGTTGTCCAAAGAAAAATTAGATAGAGCTATTGTAGTTTTTCATTAAATTGCTTCAGCTTCTGTACTTCTTTTCCAATGTTGATGAGGAGAATTGTAGTTTTTCATTAAATTGCTGTTTTATGTTATCTTTTCTAGTTTTGGGCGACCTTCATGAAACAAAACTGTCTTCAAACTACGTCTTGTTGGGTACTTTGACAAAAAAAAAATTGGTCCTATTAGGCTTTAGTTGTCTCTTTTCTAGTTTTTCATTTTCTTGCACTGATTTGTCTCTGAAATGCAAAGTGCAGAGTGAAACTTTTTTTTTCAATATTGAAAAACATTTTAGCATGCAAATATGCGGTATGGTTGTCCATCTGCTGTATCTTTCAAATGGGGGAAATTAGAAAGTATAAATTTCCTTCAATGCAATATTAAATCCTTGTTTCAAAGGAGAATTTTCATATTCCAACAATTCTAAAGTTGACTCTGATATCATATTAAAAATGATGAGTATCTAATTAAATCCTACAAAATCAGCTATAAAAATTGTATTTATTTATATATGATACTATTATCGTATCTTTGGTTAATATAGATTTCATCACCGAGGAAATGATATTAACATGAAAATTTATGACAATTTGCTGATGGGTTTTGCGGGGAAAAAGACAACCTGGGAATTCAAAGATTTTGTTGTACTCCGAAGTTTGAACTACTGGTGGTTTTTCATTTAATCCAGCTTAATTAGGATTTTGATCTTGTAATTTTCAGCATAAAATAGTGTCTTTTTTCTTTAATTCATTGTTGCTTCCACCTGTGATGGGAGTCCTTGTCTAAGATACTGCTCTTTGCCATCTTCAATTTGTCCTTGTTGTTTCCCATGTCATGTAATCACCATTGTGACTATTTGTTTGTAATATTAAGCTTGCAATAAGGCACTTTGTTCTACATTGATAGCAAGTTTCTGTATACTTAATGTGGAATGTTTTAGCAGTATATGATTGCTTAACTCTTAAACTGTGTGCAATTTTACTTGAACCAAGCAGGTATCTTCAAGGACTTAAATCTGAGCGTGGTGAACATATCTTATTTTCTGAAGCTTCAGGAAGCAACAAGGTTCCCCAAATGTTGTCACAGCTAGAAGACACATGGCCTTTGATGTCTACCAGAGTTGCCTCTTTTTCTACATCAAAATCAAGTAATGATTCCCTTTTGCATGGTGATTATCCCCAGCATTCGCTTTTATCTGGTGAATATGCATCAGGAGAACACCTGAAGGAGGAGGGTCACCCTCTTCGATCTTTTTTCAATGAATGGCCTAAAAGCAGGGATTCATGGTCTGGTCTGGAAGATGAGAGATCTAATCAAACAGCCTTCTCCACAACTCAACTCTCAATATCCATTCCTATGTCTTCTGATATCTCTGCAACGAGCTCTCAGTCCCCACATGGTGAGAGTGATATTCAATTTAGGTAAAGTTTTAACTTCTAAGCATGGATTAACTGAACCTTGTGATTATATTGTTGCAGATAATTAAAAGCAGTACTTCAAGATTTTCAGTGCCATGTTATGGAAGGATCAAATAAGCATAGTTGAATATGTGTTGTTGTACAACTTTGCAGAACCTCAGGGGTTTAAATCAAGACCCAAACTTCTTAAACCTTGGAACATTCTTGTCTCTGTATCTAAATGAACTGACATAAATACTTCGTACTGAATGAATTTTATGCTGAATAAAGTTACAGGCTTTGTTTATTATGTATTAATCTATCCCTCACACATTAGAACTACATTTCTGCTTTGTTGGTATGGTTGGAACTCATTTGTTTTTGCACTCTGTTGATGACAAGTATCAGGAGAAAAAATAACGTGATCAATAATATTTATGGGCTTAATTAAACATTTTATAATCCAAATAATCCATGTTGGATTAAAAAAATTAAAAGGACAATTAATAATTTTTATTTGGTTTTAATTACACATTTACTATTTAGATTTCACACTTTCATAAAATCTACTGTAGATGCACTTTTGTGTCATTATAATGTGTGACAACCATTATACTGAAATTTAAAAAGATAAAAAATCATGTTTTTATTTTTCATTTATGTTAGAGTGAAAATGAATAGAAAGATAATATTTTTCTTTGATAATAAGACAAGTGATAAAAAAATGTCACTTTTTATTTTATTTTATATTGATATATTAAAGAAAACAATTGGAAAATTTAAGAAAAATATTATTGTATAAAATTATCTCTATTTAAATAAATTATTATTTATTTTCATGTTTATAATTTTAATATATATATAATTATTATTTTAATAAAATAAGTGATTAATTAAATGAATATTTTAATATATTTATTTATGATATGATATTATTTTATTAATTAAATGTAAATATATTTTAAAAAATTAATTTTATAATATTTTTTATAATTATATATTAAAGTATATATTATAAAAAATATAAATATAAATTATTAATTTAAAAACTATTTTATTAGTAAAAATAATTAGTAATTATATGAATAATTTTACAACTAAATAAATATTTCATTTTGATTTTATTATTTATTATTTTTTAAAAGGATTTTTTATTTTTTATATTTTTTTATAAATTAAATATTTTTTATTTTATTTATTTATTTTTTCTTTCTTAATACCGAATTGCGGGACAAAATTATCGTGTCATGATGATGTGACACAATCATTATATTGGAATTTAAAAATAAACAAAAAATCATGTCTTTTTTCATTTAAACCACAATTAATGATACTGTATAGGATTTTTCTTCTTTCCTCATACTTCTAGTTTTGTAAATTGTTGGTGGTCATAAAATTGAAAAAAGAAAAAGCAACTAATATATATTAGGAGTGCCGAAAATATTTTTACACAATTATGTAATAAGATTTACACAATTTTATTCATTATTTAACGTGAAGTAAATTCAATTATAATCATTATTTCAAAAATCATATGAAGATGATGATTTAAATTTATCATTATATTTTGTGGGACATAAAAATGTTTTTTGGTCCACCTTTTAACAATACTAACTTGGAAGTGAGACTGAAATGTTATGTTTTTGTTAATAAAGTTAAAATGTAGTAGTTAAATTATTGTTTAATTAGTAAAATTATAGAGATCAATAAGGAGTGGGGATGGAAAAAAATGTATGGAGATGAAAACGCAGTTGAGCTTAGAGATGACATGGTAAAGAAGTGGAAAAGAAAGGGAGAAGGTGTTTACACTAAACTTGCTTAAAAGGGTGGTTATTGATGAATTGAAAGTTAAGTTTATTGTTCTTTTTGGATTGGTGGTGGATCTGATTTGAGGGAGTGATGGTTGTTGATTCGATTGAGAAGAGAAAGTGATTTTCAGAATTTGGTTGAGTTTGAATTTTGATTGAATAATGGGTTGGGGAAGTGGAATTTTAGAAGGGGTTGCGGTGGTGGCTTGTCTGTGTTTACTGGGTTGGGCGGGTTTGTGGTTCTTGAACCATCGCCTCTACAAAGAGTACGAAGAGAAACGCGTCCTCGTCCAAATCATCTTCAGCGTCGTTTTTGCATTCTCCTGCAATCTTCTCCAGCTCGTACTCTTCGAAATCATTCCCATTCTCTCCAAAGAGTGAGTGACGTAACCCTAACCTCAATTTCAACCTTTCTGATATCAATTCAATTCCAATCTCATCGATTTGGGATTTCTTTCTCTGTGGCTGTGCAGGGCAAGAGTGGTGAACTGGAAGATCGACTTGTTCTGCTTAATCCTATTGCTGGTCTTCCTCCTCCCCTATTACCACTGTTACTTGATGCTCAGAAACAACGGCGTCAGGACTGAGAGGGCTGCGCTTGGTGCATTTCTCTTCTTGTTCGCTTTTCTCTATGTATTTTGGCGCATGGGCATTCACTTTCCTATGCCATCTCCTGATAAAGGTACTGGTTCCACACACTTTCTTCCAATTTTTGTGCTCTGTGATAGTGATTTTTTTTAGTTAGGAAAGTATAATCACCTCTCAGCTGATTGATTGCTAAAATTGACAGTGGAGTTAGAGTTATAGAATATGGATGATCCTCTTGTTTATTTATTTTTTCGTATTTCCAACTTGTTCGTTTCTCGTGTTTCAGGTTTCTTCACCATGCCTCAACTAGTGAGTAGAATTGGGGTCATCGGTGTTACTGTCATGGCTGTTCTATCTGGTTTTGGCGCTGTAAACCTCCCATACAGTTATTTATCACTTTTCATCAGAGAGATTGAGGAAACAGAAATCAAGGCATTGGAAAGACAGCTGATGCAATCAATTGAGACTTGTGTTTCAAAGAAAAAGAAGATTATTCTTTGCCAGATGGAGATGGAGCAGAAGCAAGGATCTGAAGAGGTTACATTTTTATCTTTTTCCTTTTAGCATGTCCATGATGATGGGTGGGTTTCTTTAATTTTACTTTTCTGCTGCATCTTTTAATATTTGGTGAAACAATGTTTAATGTAATGGAAACAAAGGAAAGAAACTGCATTTGGGGCATAGAGGAAGAAAAAAGAGTACAGTAAGCCTAAGTGGCTTCAGATTGTCACTTAGTGGTCCAATTTATTTATATTTTATATATTTAAGTTATAAAAATTCCCCCAAAGCTACAATAAGTAGACCACCAAATCGAGGCCATGAACATGGCTGTATACTGTAACTAGTATTAGGCTAAAGTGAACCCTTAAAAATGCCCTTTTTTTTTTTCATTTGCATAATGCATTCTTCAAACCTATCATGATCTTTTTTTTCCCTGTGTTCCATTCTGTTTTCTGTCTTCAAACTTTGTAGTTTACATTCTGCCAATTTTTATCTAATTTGCCATTTTTTTTCCTATTAATATCATCACCATCTTTCATTTTTTGAGTTGGTTGTTATCTTCTTATCACTCCTAGATTGATGGTGATCATGGGTAGAAACTGTGACTTATTATTCATCATGAATTTCTTTAATTATGTAATCTTCTTTTTGCCTTTTTGAGTATTTATGTGTTATACAAATTATTAAGTTTGTATTATAACATTTAAATAGAGGCTATATTGCAATAGTGTTTTCTTAGAATTTGGACAGAGGGTTGAACTCAAACCCCCAAAATTGGCTTGTTCAGAGGATTACCAAAGCCTTACAAGCACTACTTAGGTCTTATCTTTAGTCAATATGTGATCTCAACCCTCTAGAGTTGATGTCCTGACAGCTGCACAATACAATCACTACTATGTTCTTTTCAAGACGTTGGCAAGGACTCTATTAGGCAACAATTAAGGCTGGGTGAATCAAGGCCACTTTCCAACACACACTCTCATGCCCAAGGCTATGGGTAGTCATTCTGATATATTTTACCAACCAACTCTTATAGGTCACAATTAAGGTTGGATAGGGGTGATTGTAATTAAGGTAGCTTCCCAACATATTCAGGGTTGGCTGCTACGTGCTGCTATTCAAAATTGATAACTATGACCTTAATAACAATTGATGATTTACATATATAATAAATATATCTATATGTATAAATTAAAAGAATTTAATTTTGTAAAACTCATTTAATTTGAATTGGAAAAAGGTGTATTTTCCTTAATGGGGAAAATTTGCTGTATCTTGAAATAATTAAAGGTTAGTTTGTTGAGGCATAATGGTGTTAGCATGTTTTGTTTGTCATTTTCTTTCTCAACTTGTTTGTTGCAGAAGTTGAATGCTAGATCTTTAATTAAACGAATTGTTGGTACGGTTGTTCGATCTGTCCAAGAGGATCAAAAGGAGCAAGGTCAGTGTTGTTTTACTCTTAAAAAGGCCATTTGAAGCTTCCAATTTTGAAATGCAACTTCTGATAAACCATAGTGTTAAGAATTATATGATTGACAAAGCAAGCCAAAGATTTTTACCGAATTCAGACAGAAGAGGCTGAAAGCATCAATGTGTTTTTTGAAAATTACAAAGAGGGGGATTTCATGCAGTGATTTTGTGTGCATTGTTGGAGACAAATCCTTGAAATTTCCAGGAAATATCTTACCAACCATTACAACTTCTTTGAGGAAAGTGTTCAGAGTTTCTTGGTGGTTCTTTGCTGATGGTCCTACTTATTGGATATTCAAAGAAATCGAATGCCCCTGTCATTACAATCTGTATGATAGTGTGTTTAAATCTGACTGGAATTTGGAAGCAAATTTTCCTTTTCTTAGTGAAAGTCTTATTTTATTGGAATACGTATTTTGAAGTGATTTCCTTGATAGTGGTATTTCTAATTGTATAATCGTATTTTTCTGTAATTATACAAGAGATATTGAATTACAAATTTTAAACTATTCTTGTCAAATTTGTAGATATTAAAAGCTTGGAAGCCGAAGTTCTGGCCTTAGAAGAGCTTTCAAAGCAATTGTTTTTGGAGATCTATGAGCTTCGTCAAGCAAAGGTTTACTATTTGTTGGATTACCCTTTCTTTTTGGAAGTGTGTATGTAGTCATACTTAATTTCTTGCAGCCATTATATCAATCCTCACGTTGTAAGCCAGGTTGCATTATAGTAAATTTCTGGCCAAATTAGCTATGTGTTGTACTTTTATCTCATTTCATAACCCAAGGTTGTGTGAGAGCTGGTTAGAGATATAAACGGAACCACCATGTTCTTCTTTTATAGAGTGTGGCATTGTCCTTTAGGAAAATTGAAAAGCAGTGTGTTCAACTTCTTTTTCAAAATTGTAAGTTATGGTGATGATAAAACTATATTTGTAAATTGTAAAAAAAAAAAGGGCTAACCACTTTTTCTATCAAAATATAATGTTATTGAACTTTGACATTCTTGTATTTTCTCCTTAAATCTGATTATTGGGAAAATTGGTACCTTGCAGGAAGCTGCTGCTTATTCTCGAACATGGAGAGGACATATGCAGAATCTACTTGGTTATGCTTGTTCTGTATATTGTGTGTATAAAATGATCAAGGTATTATGATGTCAGGAATCAATATTTATAGGCTATAATATTTTCTAAGTAAAGTTAATGGTTGTAACTGCTGAATTATTGCTTTCTTAAGGTAAAGATGGTTTTCAAAAATTGCATGCTAGATCTGGAAATCAACTCTATTTACTGAACTGTGCTACTTAAACTAATTGATCATTTTCTCAATAACATCATTCTCCAAGCAAATTGCTAATTATATTAGGATTATGACATTCAATCTTAGCCCAAATAAAGCTCATGGAGTGGGACAGCTAAATTGCCAAATCATTCCCTTGCTGAAAGTGTGGACATAGAATACCAGTTTAGTACGGCCCCATTACTAAAATTAGGATAAAACACAAATTAGTACAGAAAAGTTTGGTCCATATTTCACAACTGGTACTCTATTTTGTTTCCTCGGCCTCTCTCAATTTTAGTAGTCTGAAATTGTTAAATTTGGAGTTAGACTTAATGGAGAGCTTCCTACCATGTGTCACATGGGATGGATAATATCTTAAATATGAACTGTATTTAGTAAATGTAAAATTATCTAAACTACAAGAAATTTTCTTTTCTATAAGGGATTCTCCGTTAAATCTTACCCCCTCTCCATTTGTCAGTTTCACATTTTGCCAACATTTAGGGTGTGATCTGTACTTTGTCTAAAAATATGTCAGACGAATTTAATGATACTTGAATTAAAGATGTGTTTGTCACAGCTTTGTAATGAAATATGACATACTAATTTCTGTATTTAGGGATCTCAGCACCTTAAGATGCCTTTTGTGTTTAACTTAACATCAGAATTGTGGGAGTTTGGCGAATTTATTAAGAGAGGAATGCCATAATGTTAAAGTAAATAAAAAAAAAAAAGCTTTTTGTCTGTTTTTTGGCCTTTTAGGAAAGATTCCTTGTCCTATCTCATTATTATTATTATCTTCTTAATTTAATTAAATCAATATTAACAGTTATAAATAATAAATAATATGTAATAATTATAGGAAATGGTCATATACATTTCTTGGAGGATCAGCGTCTACTAGATAGTGCTATTTCTAGCTCATTTCTCTCCTGCAAGTATTAGGTAACTATGGAATTATGGTAAAATAATTTAATCTCATCAGTTATTGTAGCACACCATGCAGCTTGTATTGCTTCTCTCTATTATGGATATGTATTCCTGTTTTGGAAAGTACAATTGTGACTGACTTGATATATGATATTTTTTTATGGGGGCATTTGTCTGATGGTCATAGCTGTAATAATATTTTCTCATTTCTCTAGCAAATGAGATATCTTATTATTTCTGAATCTGTAGATAATATGGCTAACTTAATAATTTCCTTTTGGCAGTCGTTGCAAAGTGTTGTTTTCAAACAGGTAAATTGTACTTCTCTTTAATTTGATCATATATTTCATTGTTATTAAATTGTATACCTCTTCCTAGATTTTGGGCTGACTCTTTACTGTTAATGTGGTTCGATGGTGATAATGTGTTTCTATGACAGGATGGTTCGGTTGATCCTGTGACAAGGATAATAAGTATATTTCTTCAGTTCTTTGATATAGGAATAAATGCAGCTTTGTTATCACAGGTTAGAGTCCATTTGTTTGCCATTGCTTTGTAGATTTAAATGGTGACTTTCTTCTCAATGGGATTCCTAACCCTGGTGGTTTCTTATTTAAAGATCAAAATGGACATTTTCTTATTTTCTAAATGTTGCTTGTACTGATGTTATTGAGATGGGATTGTTCTAATTATATTGCATGCATTTGTCCTAAAATCATTAGGATAAACATATATATTGAGAGTCTGATTACAGTTAAGTTAGAGCACCCCATTTACTCTATTTTCTTTCTTGGGATCTCTTAAATCTTAACAATAAATATCTTAAAGTCTCTATGAAAAGTTGTTCATTAAATTCCTATTTTGTTTTAAACTTCAAGAGTTAGCTTTTTGTCACGTTGCAACTGAAAATATAGCCAACAAGGTAAAGAGAATTCTCTAATTCATTAACAATACTGGGTGTATCGGAAGCAGTATAGAATTAGAGAAATAGGGTAAGGAACAGTACATATAACAGTGGAGAAGAGCCTAAAAGAGAACAGAGAATAGAAGAGGAGTTAAAAAACAATACCAGACATCACTACAATACAGTTATAACTGACTCTATCTAAGACAACAGTTACTAATTATTAACCAATCTCTTTTCCTGCATCATTGATCAATAACTTCCAAATTTTGTGCCACTGCGATGTAAAATAAAGTAAGGTGTAGAATTTTAAGAAGATAAGTTACAGAATTTTAAGCAATTAAGTAAGCAAACCCAAGAAAAATTTCTACTGGACATTAAGATAGTTGCCTATCTAGATGTGAAGGTTCATTTCCAAGGATTATGGAGGGAGGAAGAGATGAAATGAAACTATAAAAGAATAAAGACAAGGGCTGGAAAAATGGACCAGCCCTTTGAATAAATCAATGAAGTGCAGAAATAAAGAAGAAAAGAGGAAGAGAAGAGAAGTATGGTGGTGGTGGAGTGTTGCTACGCCACTAGGGGATGAGCCACCCTAGATAAGTGGTGGTTGCTGCCACTTGAACCAAGGTTCAAGATAAGACACTCAAAGAGATGAAACACTCTAAGAAACCTCACAAACTTTTCATAAATGTTTAACCTCATTACATGAGGGGAAGCCTTCTATTTATAGGCTTTTGGGGAAGGGACCTATATGGAAATACAAAAAGGAGACATAAACTTAACCTAAACCTAAAGGCTAGAGTCTCCATGGTCCAAATATGTTAAATTCGTCCTAGCCCACCAAAAATACCTCTAAAGGTGTGGAGAACATAAAAAAAGAGGTGTGCTTCCTTTTGGGTTGTCCCAAACCTACCAATCCCGCATCCTAAGCTTCTTCCTCTCCAAAAAAGGGTGTATGACATGAAAAAGGAGTGTCTTACACCTTTGGACTGTTCATGCATGTATCCTATGGATCCAAGGCTTCTTTTCCACCAAAAAGAGGTGGTATTCTTCAAAAAGGAGGTGCAAAAAGTGAGCCTACAAAAGGAAAACGAAAATAAGTGAAAAACTTAGAAAAAGAAAATACTAAGTAAATTCAAAATGGAAGGTGAAGAGGAGATCTCTCTTCTAGTCATGTTTCTAGTAATCCTTCTAGGGATGACCTCTCCCGCCTCCGGGGCAACTAGGGACTCATCACTCTGACTTTTACTACACCTTGATTCAATTATCATATCTCTGCTCCCACTTGCAGCAGTTGCAGTTACTGCATAATCCATATCATGTTTGGACTTGTTTATTGTTGCTATTTTGAGTCTGACAACTTTCTCTGTCCACTTTTGGTTGATCCTCCCGCTAATCAGTAATCAGAGGTATTATATTGATATAAACACTGACACTTTAGATGATGAAGCAGAAATAAATTATGGACTTGTTGAGAAGTAGGAAATTCATGAATCAAATATGCTTATAAGCCTTTGTATGTGCAAGTACCTAAAAATTATTCTTTTTCATAATTTATTTTGTCATTCACTACTTCCTTAATTGGGTTAGCTGAATGCATTCTGGTAAGATCCTATTTTATTTCGTTGTTGTTTTAATCATTTGGATTTTTCCATGAAAGTTAACTTTTTGGTAGTTTTTTGCTATTTGTTAATAAGATAGATAAAGTACTTAGCTGCTACTACATGGTTTTATGTACTTTTTTTTATTTAATTTCTGCATTTTTTTGTGTGCAGTACATTTCCTTGCTATTCATCGGAATGTTGGTTGTTATATCAGTCCGTGGATTCTTAACAAATCTAATGAAGGTATTCCTGCTGCTTTCAATTGCAAATTATTTCCATTTGATGTTGATTGAATTAGTTATATTAGTATGTCCGACTGTTATACAGTCTCCTGAAGAGTGTTGTTGATAAAATCACGATCTGCTTCACTCTCTTCCGTTGGGGGTGGGTCAGTTAAGCCATTAAGAACTGACAATTTCAATAAAAGTAAGCTAAGCTAGTCTTATGTATAGTAGCAATACGGTTTTACACAGTCTAGAATGATCTATCAAATAATCAATATGCCTGATAAGAATAAACAATGTAACTACCTGTCATATATGTAAATTAAGAAACGTATAATCTACCTACCTTGTCAAAGGCATACAGGAAACCTTGCCAATGTCGAAATCAAAGTTTATGTGCTTTTCCCAAGCATATAATTTTTTAAAATTAAATAGATCTTTACTACATTAGGGGGAAGAAAGGAAGAAAACATGCTTATTGGCAATCTCCAATAGAAATAAGAACCAACAGAAATAAGCATCTGTGATCAATACCTATAATGCCAAAATGTCCACTTCAATTAAACCTCTAATGTGAGATCCTCTCGTCATCCCACTGAAATAATGGTCATCCATCATGAAAATCCATTTACTGATTTCAATCGACTATATATGGTCTGAAAGAAGTAACTTACATTATAAATCTCCAACATCCACTTTTTATTCTAACATCAAACAGAGGAAAAGTTTCAAGAAGCAATGGCTAATGGGAAATCACTATTAAAGAGAGCTTTGAGTTCTTTATTGAACTATATTTTTGTGTATTTGGCTATGGATAAATAATTATTAAAGTAATTTTAGGAATTCTATTCGTTTATTTTAGGTTCATTTGGAATAATCATGGTAGAACTACACCACTGGAGTTATATGCAAGTTACTCCATGTCATATGGGTAATAGTTAGTTTAGATGGATTTGTATTTTGACAATCTTTATTATTTGGTGTAAACCATGAAAAAACTTTTTTCAGTTTTGAGTATAATGTCGAGTAAGTTTATTCTTTTGTGGTTGATTAGAGATTTATCTTTTGTATTTGAGAGTTTTGCTAGGATTACATCTAGTCCTATATGGTTGTAAGAGATACAATTTGTATTGTTGACTTATTATTATAAAGCCTAACTTACATTTTGAGGTTTCATGCAGTTCTTTTTTGCTGTTTCAAGAGTTGGCAGTGGATCTTCAAGCAATGTAGTTCTGTTTTTGTCCGAGATAATGGGAATGTATTTTGTATCTTCTATTCTTTTAATCAGGAAAAGCTTAGCAACTGAATACAGGTATAAGTCGTAATATGTGCATTAATTATGTTTTAAATGATTTGCATAGTAGAAAGTTGAAACCTATCCAGTATAATAAGAATTGTGGATTTTTAGTTGTTGTTCACCTTTGATGGAGAGAACAAAACATTATTAGGGGAAGAAAGATACAATGAAACGTAGAATTTGTTGGCTAATAAAGAGTTCTCTTTTACAAAATAGAAAAGAAGTTGTCAGCAAACGAAAAAGTGAAAACATTATGATATTTTTGGTTTGAAAAAAATATTTTTTTATACCAAACAGTCCTTAAGGGTTCCTTACATTCTCATAATATTGCAAGAAATGGAGAAGATAAATGGAAATGGAAGAATGAACAGCATCAACAGTCCTGTTGATATCTATACAATCAGCAGACTAGTTGCCGTCTAAACTATGGGCCTGTGTTACTCTTGATTGATGCAAATTTGGCATGCTTGAACATAGTTATTGTTTCATCAAACTTCCATGGATGATCAGGCATTTGTCTTAATGGTGTCTAATCTGAATCTTATGGCAGGATTATTATAACAGAGGTATTGGGTGGTGATATCCAGTTTGACTTTTATCACCGATGGTTTGATGCAATTTTTGTGGCAAGTGCATTCCTTTCACTGCTTTTACTGTCTGCGCATTATACATCTCGCCAAATTGACAAACATCCAATTGATTGTGAGTTTAATTCTGTCACTTAATTCTGAGTTAATCTTCCTTAGGGCATTATGATAAATAGATCTACCAACTTGATATTCAAATTACTTACCGTGTCATGTTCTCTATTTATTTCAATGTAGAACAGGAAACACACTCTCTAGATGCATGTATAGTTTCTAATGCCACGGAAGGTTTGACGTCAGGCCAATGAACATACAAGTAAATCTTCCAGATGAATGCATTTGAATTTATTGATAGCTGACAGAGGTCATTCATTATTTTTGTGTGCCAGTGAATAGCTAATTAGAAGATCTGATGGTGGAGCAAATCACCAGTGAGAAGGTTGATATTGTTATAGTTATCTCTACATATATGCATGCTGCCAACATTTTTGAATGATTTTGTATGGATGGTGAAAATTCTGAACAGAAATATTGTTTGGCAATATGTTCAATGTAGATTTGCTTATGCTTTGTTGAGTGTAGAATGGATTGAATGTGAATAGTTTTTGCACTTGGGATTGGTGCCATGGATCTAAAGAACGGTTCCATGGTTTTATTGGTAATTGTAATTTTGGATTATCAGTGGTTGAAATTCCCACTCAAGTACTTTGGGCGTTTGTTTGTCTTGAATATATTTTTTTAAAATTTTTTTTCTGTTGTCTGTATATTTCTTCTACAACAGTTTACCAAATATATGGTATAATTATGAGGTGATAATACAATGAATACTGTTGATGAATATGGCACGAAAAATGTCATATAAAAGAATGATTGGATATAATGTATATCATTGGAGCATGATCTAGATTTTTTCACTGTGTATGATTGATAATAGGAAATCAACTTGCGACAGTGTGTTTGGCAAGAAAAGGAATCATAGGCCGTTTGATGTTATTATTCTACATTGCTCGTATATTTACTTAAAGAATCTGATTTTATTCTACCGACCTTGATTTTATTCTACGGTGCTCGCATTTTTACTTCAAAGAATCTGATTTTATTCTACATTGCTCGAATATCTCAGTGCCTAATAAAAAAAAATGTGAAATCCGTGAAGTCAATCATGTTTGGATTTCAGTTAACTTTTTTTCAAAAGTACTTTCGGATCATAAGATTAAAATATCTTTCTTTGAGAGTACTTCTTGAACTGTTACTCAAACATGCACCTAGTTTGGAGATTCGACAAATTGCATGTGCTAGAAGGAGAAAAAAAAAACGATAGAATGACAACACGAAGCAAGTGGCTTTATTTGTTGATTTAACAAATTCTCTAGATTTAATGTTAACATTGAATGCTAGTTGACAATTACTTTTTCATAGTTTACTTTTACTTGTAGACGGCCATTTATATGATATTAAGAAATCATTGTGACAAAACTTTAGTTTCTCAAATTAAAAATGTAGTAAATAGTGACTAAATTTTGAACTTTTTTTAAACTAATGGAGATAATGATTTATATATTTGATATAATGATAAAAGACAAGTAGTTTTTATTCAAAATTCAAATAATTACTCAATTGAATAAACTGATCACACAACATGAATTGATTGCCTAATAAAGAGCATCATGTTAACAATTATTGTTAACCTATCTCACAATAGGACAAGAAGAACATTAAAAAAAATCAGTTGTTGATAGATAGTATGAGAAAAAAAACACATGAAATAAAGGTCATAGAAACCGATAAATTAATTGATTGCAAGTTTTGTAAATCTTTTTATTTGGATAGAATTCAATAAAGTCGCAACTCCTATTATTCTGCCAGGTTATATAACCACATGAAAAGAAAATCGTTCTTTCATTGATTTTGCTAATTTCTTTTAATATATATATATATATATATATATATATATATATATATATATATATATAAATAAAAGCTTTTATCTTTTAACAAACTAAATTCTGATGTGTTTATGTGTATAAGCATGTGATACTTCATTTTAAACATGTTCAATGTGTAATAATGAGATATATTTATCATTACAAATTGTTTATATAAAATTAAATTTTTTCTCCTTTTTAACTAATCATCTAACTAAATACAAAAATTAACTGCTCTAATCATTATTAATATTGTTAAAATCAAATAACAAATACAGCATCTTTCTGACTATTTAATATACTACACGATCCAATTTTATAAGTAATCTATGTAGTACTATCAAATTAAACATAGTCATGTCACTTCACTTGGTTGAGAGGATAGAAAAATATTTGATGGAGATAGGTAAAATAAGATTAAAGAAAAAGCATCAATAATCAATATTATATATGATTTTTTTATAAGATAATATTATTTTTTTAATCAAATGTTATAAAAATGAATTATTTTTTATAATGATTAAACAAATAAAAAAAATATATATATATATATATATAATAAATAAGAAAAAATCATAAGATACATCTCCACATATTACAATAAAAAAATAAATTAAATTAAAAAGACTTTTTTTTAACAAATTAATAATATAAAATTTGTGTATATATGCTCTTTAACAAAAAAAATAATAACTGAGATTAATTAAAGTAAAATTTTATAGTTGTGTGAATTAGTTGCATTAAAAAATAAATTGCCAACGATAAAACTGTAACATGTAAATGGAAATGCTGATCGGTACCGCAATCAAATTTCAACACAAATGTGGAGGGAAACTACCACGTGAGTCTCACCAACTTTTGAAACATTTCCTTCTAAAGTATATGGAAATACAATATTCACCGTTTTTTTTTTCATTGAAGAATATAATTAACAGTTTTAATAATTTTTTTAATAACTTTTTATTAAGAAAATTCAAGTGCATGAATTTATTTAAAGAAATAAGATTTATTGAGTCAGGCTCATGCAAAGAATTGCACGGAAATAAAATAAAATTATTTTGATATAATTAATTATGTTATAATTTAGAAAAAATAAATAATTAAATTAATATTGTTTTTTATAAATTTTATTTTCTTTTTCTTATTATTTTTTCTCTCATTTTCTCAATCTTAAATCTACTCTCCCTTCTCTTATCCAGGTAAAGGTTTAGGCATGATAAACTCTCTTCTTCTCATTTTTATATTTTTATTTATCCTAAATATTTATTATTTAAAAAACATATTTGATTTCTAAAATAGTTATCATTATTCTTTTATTTATTATTTCATTTACTTCTTGCACATGTTCCACTCAATAAATTAACTTATTGTTTGTTACTTTTATGGCAAGAAGATGTGGTTGAATACGCAAAAATATGAGGCGTTGAGAGGGTTGCCACAGTGACCCACGCAATCCTCACGCGCACCTTTTCCCATGTGTTCCCAGTGACTTCACACGCAACGCGTAACACACTTCGTAACCCTCACACGTGCGTGCTGTATCTCTCATTCTTTTTCTTTCAAATTTTAAAACAATAAGTAACTGATAATGAAAAAAAAAAAAAAAAAATATTACGTGGTAAGACCCGTGTAGAATCGGCCAGGAAATAAAATAAAATAAAGATGAAAAATAAAATGGTGGGTTTTTTGCATTTACTTTTGTAAAAAATCCAGAGAGAGTGAAAGCAAAATTTCTGGGAAGAAGAAGAGAAAACCTATCTGAACCCGCACAGAATAAAAAAGGGAAAAACTCAGAGAGAGAGAGAGAGAGAGTAAACGTTTGGTTAAATGTAATTCTCGTGAGAAATATCCTTTTCAGAGATTTATTCCTCCGCCGCTTCGGATGACAGAACGAGAAAAATTACGTGTTGATGTGCTAATTTATTATTGTTCATAAATGCGAAAGGATTGTATCAAATATTCTATAATTTCATTTTGCTTAAAGCTTTGAATTCGCATTGAGTTGGTGGTCCTTGCCGATACTCATACCTCTGATTTTCCTGTTAATTCGAAGAGAGGATTTTGCGACTTGAAACGACTTCGCATAAGGTACTTGTTTTTTATTGCCGTATTGGAAGCCCGTGCAATGCGACCAACGTGGTTTGGAAGAACGAGGCATGTCAATTCATTTCTTGTTAGGGTTTTTGTTTTTAATATTATTCAGGATTTTTTTCATCGATTTCTTCTGTTATAATTTTCTCGGATTTTTGTTTTTCGTTGTATTGACGCTAGAAAGTTGGATTCCTTTTGCTGTGGCTAATTCAGTGTATGTTTGTTTTAGGGTTTGATTTGTCAGTTGAAGGGATTTTGGGATTTGGAGGAGATTTTCGCCTATTTTGCGTCATTGGTTGACTGACTATATTTGCAGCACTTTTAGCTGGTGACAAATTGACAATCACTGATTTAGTTTTATGTTTATACATGCATGCTATTTTTCTGTTTGTAAGTGATAGTTGTTAATGTGGTTTGCATTTACTTTCCAGATGACATCAGTCTTGGAAAGAGTTTTCGTATGCAAGAACCTCAATATTGAGTAATCATGATGTGCAAGAAGATATGGTGAGATACACAGGGTAATTCACGATCTGTCCTTTTTGTTCTCTTATTGCAATTAGTTCTTCAGTTCTTCATACATCATAATGCCTAAATAACATCCTTATTTGGATCACATTATCTGATAAGTCTGATTTCTTCTCATGATTTTTCTCTTCTTATTGCCTGATGGGACAATTAAATGTTCTTGATGATTGCACAAGTAGCTTTATGAGTATACTTTAGATGCTCAAATCTCTGGTGAATAGCAAGGTTATGGAAAGTTGTTGAATTCATAACTTCTCTCTATTAGTATTCTCTATATGTATACCATTATGATTATGTTTTACTTTCCTAATTACTAATCCATTATTAACATTGGAAGCAACCAACTATCTTCCTTTTCTACTATTTTATGACACTTGTTATTTCTTTAATTTATAGTTGATGTGAAATAAAGATGGTGGAGGACATTTTTGTGCATTAACTATCACTTTCGAAAGCAAATTTATAGCATTGTCACAGGTTATTTTAATGAAAACAATGAAGAATGAAAATTTTTAATTTTTTTTGTTTATTTATTGTTAATATTACTGTTTTTGTAATTTTTTATTTTGTAAAATGTCACAAAGTTATTTTGTCTTTAGCTCAAATTTAGCTTTCTATCTACACGCACAATTTCTAATCACATTGGTTGCATGGCAAGGTGGGTTGTAAGCACTAAGCAAAAAGATTCAATCTAAATTAAGAAGTTCAAGGAAAAACCAAACTAGACAGATGCTCCTCTAATCTCAGCATGTATGAGAAAGAAAACTGATTAATAGTGCACTAGCTGACATACACAAGCCTAAATAATTGTCCAGTTCTGTAAGAGCAGTAGGCGTAAGAATTCATTGATAAATATTATAGCTTCGCAGGCCATCAAATATGCTCCTTTCCTGTGCTCCAAAGCTTAATGATTTCCATGTATTTTGTTTGCACTAACCATTCCTGGAAATATGCACATAACATAGATAAAAGAAGACTAGTTATCTGAATTTAAATAATGTGTTAGATAGATAATTTGTACTGTAGCTTTTGTGCTTGAGATAAATCATTGTGTTTGTGTTTGTTGTATTGAATGTCACAGTTAAAGTGTAAAACTTTCACATTAGATTGTAGTAGCATTCGGCTAAAAAGAATTAACAACTAGCAAGAGCCAAATTGTAATTAGTGGGAGTCTAAATTGAAGGTTTTATCTTTTTTAAATCATGCCTTGTTTATTTTAGGTATCAGTCCAATCTGGAAAGAAATTTCACAAACATTCTATGATTCAAAAGGCTGATATGAGACTCGAATCAGGGACTTGTAATGTATGCTCAGCTCCTTGTTCATCTTGCATGCATCTTAACAGAGCTCTCATGGGGTCAAAGGCCAAAGAATTCTCTGATGATAACTGTCGCGTAGGGGAGGCTAATCAGTATTGTATTGATGAGGCTGATGGACCTTCTCCTGGTAGCAGAGCCTGTCAAAGATTGAAGAAGCATGCTATCAATGAAACCAGTCACAAGTCTAGCATTTCTTCCACTCATGATTCTGTATCTGAAAATGCCGAGAATGGAGCTTTATCTGAGAAGTATCAGGATTCCAAGTGTTTAGAAAGTCTTGATGATATCACTTCTTGTATTAGTAGGACCAGTAATGCTAATTTAGCAAGTGGTAGCCATCAAATGAATACAGACAGAATAAATATATCTTGTAGTTCAACTTCAGTTAGTCACTTAGGGGCAGAAGTATCTGGAAATGGGCTATCTGTGGACATGTCTGGTTTGTCAGAATGCTGTATAGAAAATGTGGATTCATCATTTACGAAAGAGAGAGTACCTATTATTGCTGATGGTGAAAAATCTCTGGCAGATAATGAAAACCTAAATAATGGTACTGCCAAAGTTTCAATAGAAATACATCCAAGTTCAGAAGCAGATATTGGAAATAATGTTGATGTTGCTAAAGATGAAGATAATAATAATCCAACCCATCATGATCAGCATCAGAAGGTTGAGGAGCTGATTAAATCAGCTGGCAGAGCTGAACCTCAATCAGACGATGAGAGTGATGAGTCAGATGTTGTTGAGCATGATGTGAGTGCATTTTCCTTTCATTACTTTAGTTTCTGTTCATGAAAAATCAATTTGATGGAGATGTAAGCGGGAGAAGTAGAATGTAACAGCTTGAACTTGGATGGAGATAGATATTTGTATGCATACACGTAACTTTTTTGTGGCTTGGGGTAATGCCAAACAATAAACTCATTTTATAGATATTCCACATACTCCCTTTTGTAATCTCTTTTTGTAAACTGTTATTTTTTGTTATACACTTCTCTGATGTTGCTTACTGAGTTTTTTTTCCCTGTAATTGACTGGGAAATAGGTAAAAGTTTGTGACATCTGTGGAGATGCTGGTCGTGAGGATCTACTTGCCATATGTAGTAGGTGTAGTGATGGTGCAGAGCACACGTATGCACAAGATCCTTTTAAATTACTACTTCTTACCCTCTATCATATTGTTGAGCAGTACTTTTCACTAAAATGAGACTTAACATTCTGGTATCGTTGAAACAGATATTGCATGCGGGAAATGCTTGTGAAGCTCCCTGGAGGGGACTGGTTGTGTGAAGAATGCAAGTGTGCAGAGGAGACTGCAAATCGAAGGCTATGTAAGCTTGAAGTTGTTTGTATACAGCATTTTTTATTTTAAAAAGTTGTGCATGTATTGAAAAAGAGTGCCCTTTTATATGAAATTCTGTATCCTTTTTTCTTACTGAAGTTTGGGTGGCATAAGTTTTGATGTACCTATATATTTGCTAACAGATTTGTGAAATTTAATTTTGTGGTGCAGTTATTGAAGAAAAAAAACTTCATAAAGTTAGTTCAACTTCACAAATTTCTGGCAAAAGACCTTTGCAACAAAGCATGGAGATAGCTACAGCAGCAAAAAGGCAAGCTCTTGAATCAAGCACAGGATCACCGAAGGCATCAAGCCCTAAGAGAATAGTCTCACTGTCACGAGAATCTTCACTCAAGAGTGTGGATAAAGGAAAGATGAAATCTGGTCAACAGATCACTATGCGAAACCACCTTGGTGGCAATGGCATAGACCTTGCACGATCTCTTTCCTCTGGTCCTCGGAGTCAAAATCCAAGGAGTATGGTTTATTTGACATCTATTTAACTTCATTACAATATTCTACTTTATTTTCTTTGTTCTTTGTAAGCGGCCATGGATCCATGGCAAACATATCTTGTCTCCAATTTCCCTGGTTTTCATGTTTTCATTTATTTATAATCTGATTTGTTGTTTCTATGAATAGGTACATTGTTGAAGTCTAACTCATTCAACAACTTCAATTCCAAACCTAGAGTCAAACTTTTCGATGAAGTTGTTCCCCAAAAGCAGAAAGGGGGTCTTGAACATATTTCTAAGAATATTGAGACACCTTCTGGGATGATAAGCAAATCAATGTCATTCAAATCCTCACACTTGGGCCGTTCAAATGTTACTGAATCAAAAGTTAAATCGATATCTTCGAAACCTGGAATTGCTCAGGATTTGAAAGCATCGAGACATACAAAAGAATCAGGTTCGCTTGACAGGAAATTTCTACCTAAGATTGATCGAGCTGTCATTTGTTCAACCATGGGTAATTCTGTTGTTTCCACATCAAAGGGTGATCATAAGCTTGCACCACGTGGTGAAAATGCTAAACCTTCTACAGTTAACAACAATCGAGAGTTTAAGGTCAACCAAGATGGAAAATTATATTCATTATCAAAGTCTATGAATAATACAAGTAGTAGAAGTCCAGAACCTCAAGTTAGTTCAGGTGTGAGTGTGCTCGTGATTGGAAGCATTATATTTATGTTATATTATTGAAAATTTTCAACCTTCTTTTAAATAGTTCAAATTAGCTGCTTTTGAAATTTCAGTTTTCTATGTAGTAACAGCATTTTCTATAATTTTTTCTCTTAATAAATGTTCTAGTAGGAGCATTTTCCATGAAATTTTGTGCCTGGAACTAAGCAATTTATGTTTCTTATGTAGTTATTGTTTGAATTTTGCAGATAGAACATCAACCAGTGTTGACGAAACTCAAGAGGATAGGCTGCCTCGATCACAGGAGACTGTTAATCAGGTTGACAGAACTAAAGATAGTTCTAGTGATCATATGAGGCCGGGTGTTACTAATGCTTCAAAAAGTTCATTCTGTCGTAGATGTAAAGATTTTGGCCATGCCACAGAATGTTGCTCGATTGGTGGTACACAGGAATTTGGTGCTGAAGCATCAGTCACTCCTACTAGTAGTTCAAACGAAGTGATGCATAAGGGAAATAGATTGAAGGCTGCCATCCAGGCAGCTTTGCTTAGAAGGCCTGAAATACACAAGAAGAAAGAAGCTCCTGATCAAACTAATGAGTTTCCTACATCAAGCACTGGTTTCAAACATGAAGTCACTTCTCAAAATCAAGTGTTGGTTTCCAACACATTACAGAATAGTATATCTGCTGAAGAAACTAATGTGAAGCAGGAAATTATTGAGTGTTCTTCATTTGAAAGCTCCAAATGTCCACCTGCTGATGATCCAAAGCAACTTAAATTTTGTCGGACTGATCTTTGCTCTAAGCTGAGAAAGTCAGATTTTGTTGGTCTCACTTCTGGAAAGCCTGTAGTGAGAGACTTAACTAATAATGCCATGGCAATCTCAAGTGTTCTTTCAAAGATGTCATTCATTCCAGAATATGAGTACATCTGGCAGTATGTAACATCTTGTGATTAGCTAGTTTGTCTTCTATTCTGGACTGCTTCTGTTGTATTATTCTTCATGTTTTGCCATCAAGTGTGTTTTATGAGTTTTGTTGTTCATGTAGGGGTGTCTTTGAAGTGCATAGAATCGGAAAGCCTCCTGACTTGTATACTGGAATTCAGGCACATTTATCCGCTTGTGCTTCCCCTAAGGTTATTGAGACAGTGAAGAATTTTTTACCTGAAGTTTCCCTAAATGAAGTTTCTCGATTGAGCACATGGCCTTCACAATTTCAGCAAGGTGGTGCTAAGGAAGATAATATTGCTCTTTACTTCTTTGCCAAAGACATTGAAAGGCAAGAATATGAATGTCACTATTTTATTGATAGTAGGCATTGAAATGCAAATATAATTCAATGTTTCTATCTTGTAATTATTTACCATTTCTAAAAAATTTCTGTTACAGTTATGAAAGACACTACAAAGGTCTATTGGATCACATGATTAGAAATGATTTGGCACTTAGGGGGATGTTTGATGGGGTTGAACTTCTCATATTTGCATCCAATCAGCTTCCGGAAGATTCACAACGTAAGAAGTTATTCTAAACTCTGGCTAAAATTCCTGAGATAATGGCTACTTGTGAATGATGTGTCTTGGTTTGGTGTTGGGTTGAAGTTTATGCCTGCTTTAACTATCAAGTTCTGGAGAAATTTATTTCATATGCAACTTTGCAATGCCTTGGACAAAGACATAATGGGAATTGTATCCCACAAAGAGTTGCTTGCATTTATTTTATATTATAAATGATATATATATATAGCTATTTGTGGGAACTTGGGTATTTATACCTGATGTTGGTTGGCGGTGTCCATTCATTTTCAATCAGAACTCTATATATTGTTTTATAAGATGTTGGAATTCTATAAACAACTCATCTGTATGAAGTAGATGAGGGAAGGTCATAAAGGCAATAATGCTTCATACTGAATTTTGTTTTGACCAAAAGTGATGATTTTTTGTTCTAGTTGGCATTAGTTTGTTGATAGGGTTATGCTTTGGCCTGTGAATTTTCTCCCTTTTGTTCATCAGTGGGGTGTGCTCAGTTTGGGATGTTTGGAAGTTTACTTGGGTGAAATTATAAATGTTCATCTATGTAACAAAGTTTTTCAATAAGAAATGTCAACTGTTTAAATTGTCTCTGCAGGTTGGAATATGTTATTTTTCCTATGGGGTATATTTAGAGGGAGGAGGATCAATCATTCAGATTCCACGAAAAAGATATGTATTCCCAGTTTGAATGTGATGCCAAATGAGAAGGATTTTCCGTCTGCTGTCATGACCTTGTCTGAAACTCGGTGTTCACCAAAACGCATGGACAAAGAATCCATTGACCAAGGTCACAATGTGGTAAGTAGGAATTTTGACAGCAAAGAAACTGTGTTTGGCCTGACACAGACACATTTGGAGTTGCAAGTAAAGTTCGAGAGGCAAGATACTAGAGACGATACCATATCTACATCAGGGATTCCAACCACCAGTGCACAGCTTTGTGAAGAAATGAATTCCTCTGGTTCGTCCCTGGTAATGTTTTTATCCTTAAATTTGTTGTTTGATAGGTTCAAGAGTTTCTGTTTCCTATTTGACATAAATCTTCTTAAATTGTGATCTGATCTTATCTATAGTAAATGTAAATTGGAAATGCTATTTTGATTTTCTCAATCATAGAGTATGTACTGATTAGTTTTTAATAATTGTTTTGATGGTTCTACAAGGAGGTTAAGAACTCAAGTTGTTAGTTATATACACTTTCCAATCATGCAATTATTACATACAAGGGGAGATTAAAAATAGTTATAACAAGTAAAACAAGAAAATGCTGTTATGAGAGATTATGCTAACCACAAATGTTTTGTGAAAGATTAAGTCATGCTGCTAGTCATCTCTTTTTTTTTTTTTTAAATGAGTTTCTTGTTATTTGCAGGGAGATAGTGTACCAGAGCATAGACAATACATAGATTCTAAACCTCCTGAAGCAATGTCAACTAGTTTAAGTGGTAGGATTGTGGAACCAAAAACTAATCCTGATATTTCTGGTAAGCAAGAAACCTCTTTGTCTTCGGAGATCCCTTCTGCCGGTTGGCAAGAGATAGATATTGCTAGTAATATCATTAAGGATAAAATTTTAGAGCGGACAATTTATGATGAGAATCAGCAAAGGCCTAAACGGAAACAGATGGAAAATGATCTCAATATTAATGAGGAGGCAACGTTTCAGGGAGACCTGGATGTGAAAGGGGTCAATTGTCAGTTACCTAGTGATAAAAAAGTTAAGCTTATAGATCTTTCAGATACAATTATGGAAGCTTGTGCAGTTAGTTGTCAGAAAAGTCCTTTCAATGAGGTGAATGGTAAATTGGAAGACAGAGAAAGTAGCAAGAGGCTGCAAACAAATTTGGGTGGAATTTACGAATGTAACGATTCTGCTGGAGCCAGGGGTTCTTTTAATGGTATCTTTGCATCACTTGTAACCGATATTGGTTCCTGTTCTTCAGTGGACAAAGGGTGCAAAGAAGCCTGTGATGAGAAAATCATCCACGAGGACTTTGGAACGATGGAAAGAACCTTTTTTCCTGTTGATACTCGTAATAAAATTAACTCGGGGATGGTGAATAGGGAGCCACTGAGTGGTTCTCGTGAGTACGCGGACCAATTTGAAGTTGGGATTCCAAATCTGGAGCTTGCCTTAGGGGGTGAAACGAAACCGTCACACAAGGGTATGCTGCCTTTCTTTGTTGGTGCGGTTGACAAGAACATTAACCGGGACAAGACTCCAGATGTTGAGCGTGAGGATGAGAACGTTGCTGCATCCCTTTCCTTGTCACTATCCTTTCCATCTTCAAACAAGGAACACATCAAACCAGTCACAAAAGATGAGCCTTTACCTGACGGGCACAAGGCCAAATCGTCGTTTCTTCTTTTTGGGAGATTCACGGACAAATAAATAAATATGCTGCTGCACTTCTATTTCTAATCATGTACATTATCTTGTTCCAGATGCCATGGATAAAGCAGCTATATAGTCCATCATATCATCATCGTCGTCATCATGTATGTAATCTTCCAGTGAATCCCTTATACAAAGGAGAAGAGACATCCACCTGTTCATGTGTCCGGCAAAATAAGTTTTCTTTTTACCCCTTTGTTAAATACTTGCTTTTGTACTTTCTTCTTCGCCTCCAAACTCATAGTTACCGGCTGTTTGTATATACAGAGAATTTCAGCCGATATAATTTCAGAAATGTTACTAGGAACTTGTGGATGACTATTTTTATGACATGTTTTCCTTTGTTCCTGGCTTCATCATCTCTCTTTTCCCCTTTTTATATTCTTCCGGCAGATGATTTTAATTTTAACATGTCCAATGTGACACGGTCTCTTGTTATACAAAAACTTGATGTTTATCCCAGAAAGAAATTTAATTAACTTGCTAGCTAAATTTCTGCCACTCTGATGGCATAGACGGCACTGCATATTATTAAAGGCTGCTTAGCGAAGAGGCTTAAATGAACTCGAACTCTTAACTATATTTTGTTCTCAAATGCAATTTTATTGTTATTATTGATATTGAAAGAAATATGTCATTAATACAGGACAATCTTCTCTAACATATTGTCAACTTTAAAATTATTTTGATTCATTATTTTATGGATAATTAATTCTTTTCACTAGATTCTGTTGATACTAAAACTCTAAATAGTAAACTACTTTCAAATTGATGAAAAGTAAAGATTAATTTATTTATTTGTGTTAATAATAAAAAAATTGACTAATAAGAATCAATTTAATTATTTGTTAACAAAGATGGGAGGTAGCTTAATGATTTAAAACTATTTTGTAATGCTTTAAGATTGTAATTATTTAACTTCGTTCATTTTTATCAATTTGTGACTTTGTGTCGTATTATGATGATCAATAGGTCTATGAAAAATTCTCTAATTTTTTTTTTCTATAATTCTTTCATTTATTTGTAAATAGTTCTCTCTCTTCATTTTTTTTTCACCATTCATATTCTTCTTGTTATTTAATATAATTGATCAACCAATAGTCGAAATCAAAAATTTGGATCATCTTGTCTCTATATTTTTTTCATCTCAACAAAAGTCTAGTTTGTGTTCCTGTTCTACCACTCCTCACCAAAAATAATTTTCATCGAATGCAAAACTAAGAACAAACAATATTTCATATATGGTACTCTTGTTTGTCCTACACGTCCAGATCACTTGCATAAAGCTTCAGGAAGATGCAATCGAATGGTGATATCACAACTCTAAGAGTCATCTAGATATAAAATTTGAAAGATGAAAACCTTTAAGAATATTTTTCACACTCTCATAAGTTTCGCATTATAAACCTTCAAAATCAGGTCCAAAATTGTTGACAAGATAATTTGAGCATTTATGTGTTTTGCTACGTACATGTTTGATGTTTTGTTCTTGTGGACTTGTTTCGAAGCTGAAAAAAGAACAAGAAAATGACTATTATCAAATTCTTGCATTTTTTTAATGAGGGTATGCACAAGAGATGCTAATGGGTCCTATATTTCCTAAGGTCAAAGTCTTTTCTCTTGTTTTTTAGCATGAACGAGAATATTGTGGTTATTATCAAATTCAGTCACATATATTCTGCTTTTGTACATTTTGATGATGAAAATAATTATAATATAAACATGACTTAATTACTTACTTATTTTGTGTTAACCTATTTTTTTCAATAAAATCCAACTTCAAAACTATTGGATTAGTTAAGAATAAACATGACTTATTCTACTTATAATTGATTCTGTGACTTGAATTTTTCTGTTCTTTCTATGATTCTTAATACTATTTTTTTCATAAATTTTTAATTTCACTAATTTAATAATTTCATATTGATATTTTAGATTAAGTCACACTTATGTTATCAGTATTCTAAAATTCCTTTGATTAATCTACTCTGAGATATGTCATTATGCTAAGAAAATTAAATTATCCTATTATGTTATTTTTAAGTTTAATTTTTTTTTTAATTCATTCATATACAGAGACGTCCAGAGTCCTATGAAAGACAGTAATGAAGAATTTTCTACAATAGACAAAAGTTCCAGGGAACAATGTTGAAGGTTTCCCAATCATGAACTTTTTTTTTAGGAGAAACGGTATTTAGGAAATAAAGCAGAACAAGCGTTATCCAAAATAATTGGACATAAAACGTTAAGTAACTTTTTAAATTTATCGTCAAACAAGTGGTAAAAATTATTGGTGAAGGGGTGAAATGCGACTGGATGATATACTTTCTTTTAAAGTTGAAGCTAACATCATTCTTTCAAATTTTATAATCTTAGAATTTAGTTTAAAAACAAAAGCGACATATTTCATAAAAACTCTTTACGAGATGGAGCTAAATATTAACTATCATGTAAAAATAAATATATTATATAAAATATTCAATAATAGATTGAAAATTATCAATTTAATTTAAATTTTGAAAACTAAAATTTATTTTATCATCTACCATCTCTTGAGAGATGAATTTTATAATTTTTTTACACCTCTTAACACACAAATAAGGTATCATAAAATATAAAAATAACTAACTCATTTATAACAAATAAAAAATTTATATCAATATTTTATATTTTTATAAATATACTAATTTGTTATAATAAAGAAAAAAACATATTTATTATAAATGAAAAGATAAAAACATTAAATTTAAATTATATTTAAAAAAATATTTTTATTTAATTTTTGAAAATTAATTAATAAATATAAAAAAATAGCCTTATCCTCATAAATCTGTGTCTACCCTGTCAACAAAATAAAATTAATAAGAGGAAATATTAGTATATTTTAAATACTAATCTTACTTTTTTTTTAATATAAAATTAGTATGTTTTTAGACATTTTTTCTATATTATAAATGCTATTTATAAATTCATATTAATATAAATGTTGGTTATGCTACCTACACCTTTTTTTCATATCAGATTTCTTCTCTTAAATTTTTTTGTTCTATTTATAATTTAAAAAATCTCATAACTTTTGGTTGTTTGGTTTTATTAATATTCTTACTTCATGTAGATCAAGTTTCACAAATGGGGTTTTAATTATGTTTTCTTATGATACAAACTTATAATTAAAGGATTTTTTTTCTTTCAGTTCCAATCATATTCTTTCTTATTTATATTGATTTTTCTATTTTTAATTCTTTTATGTACGTTGAAATTACTTAAACACAAGATTTTCATGATAATATATAAATCATAATCAAAATACTGAAAATATTTTCTCTAATAATTATAATAATAATAATATTAAAAAGCTCTTAAGAATTTATTCACGGTCTAAGAAACCTTCATGATCTTACTTCTCTTAAAAACTTAATTTTTAAACTATTGCATTTCTTTAACACATGATTTAATATAACAATATTAGAAATTTAGTTTTAACTATTTTTATAAATGACTATGCTTTCTTCTATAGGATGTGTTTGTGAATGAATTTATGAGAAAATTCTTTCAATATATTAGTTAAATTGAAAGTGTCAGAAATAATTATATATTGATAACAAAATAATTATAATTTAAAAAGTAAATATATTTAAAAAATAGAAAGAGAAAATAAAATAAAACAAAACTTAAAACAAATTTAATAAATAATTATAAAAAAATTGGAGACACAAACATTTTAACACCTATATTTTCACTAACAAAAGAATAAAAAAAATGAAAAATTATTTATTTAACATATATATATATATATATATATATATATATATATATATATATATATATATATACTCGCTCAAAAAAAAATTCAATATTAATATAACGCAATAAACTATGCAAACATCATGATTACTTTTTTTTTTTTTATCACCAATTTTATATGACTAATCTTGAAAGAAAAATCTAGTTAGATATATTTAGTGAAATTTTCTCTTTCAATAAGTTATTTTTAACCATGACACTTAAAATCAATAACTCATTTTAAAACGAAAAATTAATACAATTCGGTCAAACAACTTTATTACTTAAATCTCATTTATGCCATCTATTAATTACATCTAATAGCTTTCCCTCACCTCCCCATTTTTCTTCCCCAATAATAAATGATAATTAAATAATTATGATAAAAAAATATTTATTTCAGATTAAATAATTTTAATAAAAAGTTTTCTAACATGGCTTGTTTGAATTTTAAAATTATTACATTTATTAACTTTAATAAGAAATATTCTTTCTATTAATTCATTTAAATAATAATAATAATATATATTTAATATATAATTATGTATTTAAATGGTAATTATTAATATTAAAATAAGTATAGGTTATTATTAAAAAAAACTACTATCTCCTTAATACAAAACTTCTTATTCTAATTCAAAGACTTTTATATTATTTCTATTAACATTTTTTTATACCGACATAAACATCTCGACCTAATATATTTCAAAGCAAAATTCATCTAAATCTATCCGTTTGAACTTTGTAACTCATGTTTATAGCAAAAGTTAAATAGAATAGGGTTCTTATAACTTATAAGTTTATTTCAAAAGTTAAATAAGATGGAGTTTCCGTAACTCATCTTAATTAAATAAAAAGAGTTAATCTCAAATTATTTGAGTTATATATTAAAATTAAGTTAAATTTTATAAAAAATATATTCATACATCAAGTTTCGTGTTATTACAAAAAGAACATTTAATTTATAACGTGAAAATGACTATCTTTCTCATCTTAACCATAATTATATATCAAATATATTTCAATCATAACTCTACATCAAATACACTTAATAGCGTACACCAAATACACCTCGATCTGATCATAACATATACTAACACATTTTAGTTGTTCTTCTAAATCAAACTCTCGTTGGTCGTGATAATACTCTATAAATTGCAAGTTCAAATAAAATATAACTCAACCATTAATAAGAAAAACTTGTAATCGATTTAGTCACACTTGCAAGTAAAGAGAAAAACAATTGACTTGCATAAATAAAAAAATAATAATACGAATTTATTCATAACTCAAGTAGGTCTTATAAAAATTTATAAATGACACTTATAAGTTATTTGTTCACATTAAAATTAGATTTTGAACTTTAAGAACTAATATAATATACGTAATATTACATTTAAAGAGAAATTATTAACATTAAAATATGTATAATTTACTGTCTAAAATATTTTGATAAGAGGTCTATAATATGAGATTATTCTCCTTTCACAAAGTATTTCATTCTTATTCGAAGTTTTCTTTATTATCTCTATTATTATTTTTTATACTGATTTAAATATTAGTGTTTATTAAAAATCTTACATAACCGACATGATAACATTATAATATATAAGTAAGTACTATCCTCACTTTATAGAGTCGATTTTATAAGGTCGAGTTAGGTATCTCATCATTTATAAGATAATATCATAGTCAACTCTAAAAATATTGAAATATTAACCATTAACAATTATAGATTAAACCATCAATTATATTAATATTGGACTGACTCATTATATATATAAGATAATATAATAAAAAATTATTTTCAAAATGTATTAGATTTCACACCTACTCATATAATAATGATATAATATATAAATTAGTATAATTTTCATCTTACAAATTAATTTTGTAAGATAAGAATATCTTTTTGCAAATAAAATTTTCCCTTTCTTCATTAATCAATAAAGATGAATCCCATAAATGTTAAAAGAATCCTCCACGTCATTATGTTTAATTCCACGAACTTATTAATTTTTTTATAAGAATACTCCTAAATTTTTTTTTTTAATGTAACATGAAGTTTCATTATTTGCTTTCACTTTAGTTGTACTTCTAAAAAGAATCAATGCACCGGTAAATATCTTTTTAATCTATACTTTATAATTAATGGGTGATTTATTAACACTGTAACTCTTTCAGCGCTTTTTTTTTTTTTTTTTTTCATCACCACTACAGTAAGGATAATTTAATAAAACTGAATTACTGGTAAACTTTTGCTTTCAAAACCTTTCTAGCCAAACTTTAAAAGAGATTTAAAAGGAAATAAAAAAATAATAGATAGAGCTGTTGTTATGGACCAAAAATAATGATAAATTAATTGCAAAATGTATTTGATTGATATTAATAAGATTGATTTCAATGTAGATTTTATATGTTTCCTGTTAATAGAAAAAAAAATCCTGTTTAATAAAATATAATAATTTATTACTTAATTTATGATTGAAATAAAAATCAATTGACACTCTCCATGTTCCAACTCATTAAACGCTCAGAGGATGCATATTCTCCATTTTATTTCATAGTTTTAATTGATTTCACTATATTTTTATCCATTGAACTTAAAAAAGAGAGTTAATGATAGTTTTACTAGATGTTATGTTTAAGAAAGGAAAGTTTTATAATAATATTATTTACAGTAAATTCTTATATCTAATATATTATATTTTGAAGTAGAGTTATTAATGGTTGAGTTATATTTTATTTACAAGTGTGACTAAATCTAATATATTATTTATTTAAAATAATTGGTATTGGAAGAAGTGAGGATCCGTGCTCGATTCCTGCGAGAACGAAATTGAGGCAGCGTGTGATAAGTTCTTCGAGATTCCCAAAGAGCAGGGAATCGAGTCGCGGAATCGTGATTGAACCGAGAGTTTAAGTATCAAAGTGGGAACCTTACTAATAGTTATAACTTTTGACTAAGTGGTTACCGTTGTGTGTTCATCCTTAAATTTTTATATTTAATATATTATCATTTTTAAATTTTTATATATCACATTTTTTATTTTTAAAAGATTGTATCAATAACCTAAGAAATAATAATATATTTAAATTTGACCTTAATTATTGAGACTTAGGAACATAATAAAATATTATCAATATAATATAAAAAGGTAATAACTTTTTTAATATTATATGATAACATAAAAACATATACAAAAGATAATAAAATGTTTGCAAAACAGTGCATTTTATTAACCTCCTTTTTGGTAAAAACATATCAATTGACACTCATTAATATTATCATATCAATGAAATAGTAGAGTTGCAAGCGAATCTCTGCGCTTTTTATTGAAGATTTCCTTTCTGATTCTGTGGTCAAGGTCTAATCTTGATGATAACTTTTACACAGTTTGGATCTTTCAATAGTTCAAACGCTTGGTTAATATCTTCCAAAGGGACCTCATGAGTAAATAGTTCTTGAAAAGGGAATTCCTGTAAATTAGGAAATTGTCACTATTAGTTAAATATCTTTACCATGACATAAAATATACGCAACAAATAACTACGAAAAATGTAACTAGTTTAATAAGTAAGGTGTTGATGGTAGAAGGTTACCTTTTTCTGGCATTTGTTAGCTACTGTGGACAGGTCAGATATGGGTTTTAGGCCCCCAAAAACAGAACCTTTCAAAGTTCTGCCGAACAAAATGGATAGAACACCAATTGAGACAACATGTTCTATTCCTAAACCAATTGTTATTGTTTTACCCGTTCCCTTCATGTACACAAGAAATAATCAAGAACACGAAATTACAAGGATAAGGGAAATTAAAGGAACACAATAATAGTATGCCTAGAATCTCATTTATTAAGAGAAGTTTGATCCAAAAACACAATATGAAAACAGGTACATGAGAAGAAGAAACTTACCACTTTTGTGGCTTCCAATGATTCAGTAAGTAGAGGGGCAATTCCAGTGCACTCAAAGGAATAATCCACACCCAATCCACCACTTAGTTCCTTAACCAATTCTGAAACAGACTTTGCAGAATCACCAGGGTTTATAAAGTGGGTCATTCCAAAAGCCTCTCCTTTTTCTCTCTTCTTCTCGTTTTTGTCAATACCAATTATCTTAGTTGCTCCCATACTTTTGGCTCCACTTACAGCCTGCAACACAAGGTCAATATCACTTTTAATCAAAATTCAAGCTTCAAACTGAGAAAAGACAATCCAACAATCAAATATAAACTTAGAAGGTCAATATACCCCTAATCCAACAGCCCCAAGCCCAAGAACAGCTACAGAGGATCCACTCTCCACCTTGGCTTCCTTCCAAGCAGCTCCAAAGCCAGTTGAAAACCCACATGAGATGAAACTGGCATGGACTGGATCAATGGTTGGATCAACTTTTAAAATGTAATTGACATTACTAACCATGTATTCTGACCATGTGGCACAACTTAAAACATGGTATAGCCTCTGTCCTCGGATGGACATCCTTGAAGTGTTGTCTGGTAGTAAACCAGTCAATCTTACAGGATATGTCAGACATAAATTGGTTTTTCCTGAAACACAATTCTCACATGTCTGACACTCCCCCATATATGTTGGGATTACCATATCTCCCTCTTTTAGGGTTGTCACTTGATCACCAACACTCTCCACAACCCTGAAATTAAAGCAGACATGAAATTGATTGAAGATACAATTTAGTTCAGTCACAGTAAGAACATCAAAAAAGTTAGAATCTCTTAACATTTTATTTCAAAAACTAACTTAGAGATGAGAATTTCTCCCTCATTACATATTTCATTTTAGTCATATTACTCTGCTAGTTAACATGTTAAAGAAAAATGTATATCATTAGTACTTGTGGAGCTTACCCAACTCCTTCGTGTCCAAGTGCTTTCGGATAATTGACCTGCAATCACTGCGACATTTTTAATAGTTTTGGGAAAACAAAACTCAAGACTGAAATAATAGGATTGAAAAGACTCTTAACATTTGGGAATCCATGAATGCTTAATATGTCTGTGTGGCATATACTGGCAGTGAGCATCTTAACTCGAACTTCAGTTGCCTTTGGTGGATCAACTTCTATCTCTTCCACCGTAACAGGTCCTCCTAACCCCCAGCATATGGCAGCTACAATACCAAAATTTTAACACACATACCAAAGCCAGAGACATGTTACAACCTTCGCATGATTAACAAAGTCACAAACAAATTTGACAGATGATACCTTTGCATGTAACAACCTGCGAGGAGCCTGACATTGTAGATTGAAAGGCAGTTTCTTAATTACACCAAACCAATGCTGTTCTAACTTCTTCTAAGTGTGCTGCTCCTGGTCCTCCTTTTTATAAAGGATAAGGAAGGAATGGCTGTCAGAGACGTACCTCTCCCTACGTTTGTGGGGGGCAATTATTTTATAGTATTTATATTTCTAGTTCATGGTTAAAAAAAGACAAATAGCTTCTTGTATTATCAAATTACAAATCAAAAATTAAGTTTTGTCTTTATTTATCCATCTACCCATCCATCCATCCATTTATCTATTTATCTACCTATATATGCATTCATCTCCCAATAATATTTATAATGTTTCAATTTAATTAAAATATCTAATTTCCACCTTTTATATATTTATTTTTCTCAATAAATGTTTCAAATGTATATTAACTCTCTCACCTAAGAACCCTTCATTCAGTGAAACTAGATATTACTCTCTTTCTTTTTTATGTTGTAGTATTCAATTCAACTCGTTATGATTCAATTTTAATTAGAAATATTTTTGTTAGCTAACATTAATTAAAACAAATAATAAAAATATTAATTAACTATTTAATTAGCTAATTTTTATCTATTTATTTTATTCAAAATAATTACACTGTATATTTTAATTACACATATTCATTTTAATTAGTTGTGATTATTTTTTTAACTGTAATCAATTTATTCATTATGTGTGTTACTTAAGGTTACTTGACCCAAACATGGAGAAGTTAATTAATTAATTTAATTGATTAACTTATTTTATTTTATTCCGTTAATTTAACATTCGTTATAATATTATGTTATATTTTTTATTCAATTATTTTCTTTATCAAATTAAGTTTAATTAACACATATTGCATAATTAAACATTTTAATTTTTCAAATTATTTAAATCTGAAAAAAAAAATCAAAGTGGAATTCGGACATGGAAACATTGAAAATAGAGTATAGTTAAAAAAAGGAATGGATAAAATTCCAGTAAAATTATTTATATTGCTTATTACTTTTAAGATACTTTTTCTTCTAATATCTACAATTATTTTTTTCTTTTAAATCGACGAAGGAAAAAGAATCTCATCTCATTTATTTTACATAAAGAAATATATGATGAAACAAAGAACATCAAACAATGTTTACAATGAAATCTCAACCGTTGAATTATTCAAAATTTGAGATATTAACTTGGATAGCTATTGAATTGGTCAAATGATGGTACTGAATTGCAATCATCATCATGTCATATTTTATGTTTACACAAATTTTAAAAAATATATAAAAAAAAATAGTCATAACAACATTAAATTATGGTTCAATAATTGAATAAGACATCTTCTGTAATTATTCAGAATAACACAACAAATGTCATTCATTTAATCAGGTGGACCTACATACTTTTAAAGCCGCGGGACCAGAACATCTTCTATAATTATTCAGAATAACATAATAATTGGTAAAAAAAATTATATTAAAAAAATATAGATTGATTGCGTAAAATAATTAGAAATGATTATTTGTACGAGATTCTTTTAATTTTTTATTTATTATTATAATATAATTTTTATATTCGAAATATTATTTATTTTATAATTTTAGTTTATCATTTTATTATTAAAAAATACTTTGATAAATTAAAAAATATATATACATATATAAATTATCTTTAAATTTAACCATTTAAAAATACAAATTCAGTTTTTTCATTTGATTGTGGAACACGTTTTTTGTGCCTTCACTTCTCTTTTCCAACTACAATGGAGACTTCTCTTATCTAAAAATTACTGGTGTTTTTATTTTATTTTATTTTGTTAATAATTTTATTTGAATATTTTAATCATTTAAAGACAAATGTGAATACAGGCGTAGTAACACTAATGGAGATTCCCATAAGTTACTTTTAAAAGTCCAGTTATCCTATGTTTTTTTTTTAAATTATTCTTATCCCATCAAAATAAAGTGTATGTAAAAATTTCAAAATATTAAATATTTTCTCTAAAATTATGTATATTTTTTTGTATTTATAAAATAAAAAATAGATTTTTATAAAATTTAAATAAATTTGTTAGTTTAGATGAAAAAATTATACTGAAAAATAATAGTATAATGTTAATCATATATTTAACTAAAATTATTTAAAAAAATATATTTACTCCATTATCTTTATTTATGTTATTTTTTCTTTATTATAAGAGTCGTATGTCTTCAATATTTGTTTTTCAACAAATATTAATGTTTTAAATGTTTTTTCTAAGTCCTTCAAAATTGATTTCCCAGTGTTAGTTAAAAAAATTGTATTAAGTTAACTATGATTGTTTTATATTAATACCAGTTAGGAGTTTTTAATTGAGTTAAAAAAAATAGAAAAAATAACCTTAATAATATTTAAAAGTAAGTTTAATGAATGGTCAAAATAATGATTATTTAACATCAACCTTAAAATAATATTAGTTGATAATATAGAAAACACTTTTATTAACATGAACTATCAATTTGATTGAAATTTAAATAAAAAATATCTTACATTAATTTAAAAAAAACATTTAACTATTTTAAATTATTAAATATTATTTTTTAAAAATATCTACACATCTTAAAAATGAAAAACAAATTTTTATCTTTATTATTTTTTAATTTAATAATCTAAAACATTAATTTATTTTATTATTAAAAAAATCTAAAAACGTGAGAGTAAAGGAATTTATTTTCATTATTTAATATTAAAATAAATTTTTATATTAGGTGATAATTCAAAATTTTCAACTAAAAATATTTATAATTCAATAAATTTAAAATACAGCATATAACCAATAAAATAAAACAATTTGAATTCATTGATTAATTACCCAAAGAACAATAAGTATTTTTTTTTCTATTGCCTGGTGGAATTTTACCATGGAAAAGTAAGAGGATGCATGAGGGTAGATAGAAATCAGGGTAATCGAAAACCAAAAGAACAGAAAAATAAAGAAAAACATAATCTGCATTCTAATTTCCCAATTCTGGCATAGGAATATCTGTGTTTTCTCTTTCACCACACAAATTCCCAATTCTGACTTTGTTCGTTTACTCACGCTCCTTTCAATCGGGAACTGATTACTTTTCTTCAATTTCTTGCGTGTCCGTGGCTAGTTAAGGCCTCCAAGGTTTGTGTTGGATTCAGATGAATTATATAAGAGAAGTTGCACATGTCGATCTGTTTTCTTAGCACATGGCTGCCGCTGACACAACCAACCCTCCCAAGGTATTATCACTAATGGCCAGTTTGCAATCTTCCTTTAATGCGATTGTTCTATTTGATTCCTTAAAAATATTTGAGACTAAGGGTAATTTTGATCAAATTTTGACCAACTCCCAAAACTATCATATAGGAAGACTAAATTGAGTCTAAAGAAAGATTCTTGTGTTTCCTATCTCTCATGCACAAAAATGAACGAGAAACAAACATCTTTTTTAATTTCTTAAGGATGATTGACTTTACAAATAATAACTTATTTATAGTCTTTGGTCCTACGAATCTTATCTAATTTTCACTTTTATTTTAGAACTAACTATTAAAAGATAAAACAGAATTTATAAAATGACATATGACAGTTTCCCCCATGAAAGCAGATCTTGTCCTCAAGGTCTGGTCAACGTGGAAGCCAATCAAAGCTTGGATGTTGGTGCTGTAATTCCTGAAGCTCATGCCACGTGGCATCCTCCGGATTTTTAATTCCCATTATACTGGAACTTAGTGACAGCTTTATTGTTCTTATTCTTCATGCATCTATCTAAAATTGTCATGGGTTGTAGAGTGACTTCTGTATCTTCATTAAATGTTGGTAATTGAGGGAATACCTGGTGATGTCATGATGTTACTTTAAAAGACTCATGTGGAACACGTCATGTATTTTGTTTCCAGCAGTAACTCAAGTTTGTAAGCCACTTTTCCTATTCTCTCTAATACTTTATATGGCCCAAAGTATCTAGTTGCAAGCTTATGAAAGGCTGAATTAGCTAGGGAATGTTGTCGAAATTGTTGGATCTTTAAGTAAACCATGTCTCCAATAGCAAATTCTTTGTCAGATCGGCATAAAACTTCATTCGTTCTTGAGCTTTTGTCAAATTGGTGTGCAACAACCTAAAAATCTGATTTCTAGTCTTCACAATAAAGTCCACTGCTTCCACTAGACTGTCTTCTATTAATGTTGGACAAGGTAGTGGCGGTTTGTAGCCATACAAGGCCTCAAAGGGGGTCATCTGAATAGTTGCATGAAATTTGGTATTGTACCAAAGTTCAGCAAAGGACAGGTAGGTGGTCCACTATTTAGGTGTATCGCCTGTGATGCATCTTAAGTATCCCTCTAAGGTTTTATTTAATGCCTCAGATTGTCCATCAGTCTGAGGGTGGAATGCTGTAGATCTCAACAACTTGACTTTGTGGAATTTGAATAATTCATTCCAGAATGTACTTAAGAAGATAGGGTCTCTATCGGAAATAACTTCCTGTGGCCAGCCATGTAACTTTACCACGGTTTCCATGAATTTAGTAGCAACTACAGCAGCACCAAAGGGATGTTTTAATGCTATGAAATGTGCATATTTTGTGTATCTATCTATAACCACCAAAATTACTGAAAATCCGTTTGACTTGGGCAGCCCTATAATGAAGTCCATTGTTATTGATTTCCAGGCCCCTTCAGGGATTGGTAAAGGTTGCAACAACCCTGCTGGAAGTTGAGGCAATGATTTGAATCTCTGGCATGTGTTACATTCCTTTACCCGTACTCTTACCTCTTTCTGTAATCCTTTCCAGTAAAAATGCTGTTTTATTCTTTTGTAAGTCTGATCAATTCCAGAATGTCCTCCGATTGGAGAATCATGAAAATGGCTAAGAATTGCCTGTCTTAGCTGTTTATCTGCACCTACTACTAACTTCCCTTTTCTTTTGAGTAAATCGTTGGCATAACTATAGTGTTTGTGAGGGCCTCCTGTCAGTCTGATTCTGTCAATGATCTTCTGTAATTTGGGGTCTTGTTGCCAAGTTTGTTTGACTTTAATGACCAATTCATTTAACAAATGTGAGATGGTGACTAATTGTCCTGGAACACATTTTTTGGATAGAACATCTGCCACGACATTGTCCTTCCCTTTTTTATATTCTATACTAAAGTCTAACCCCATAAGCTGCTCTAAACCCCAATTCTGCATGAGGGTTGTAGGTGGTTGCTCAAGGAGATGCTTCAAAGCTTTCTGGTCTGTTTTTATTATGAAGTGATTCCCAAGGAAATAGTGGAGCCATTTCTTTACAGCAAAAAGAATAGCATAAAATTCTTTCTCATACGCAGAAAGGAGTTGAAACTTAGGACCCATTGCTTTGCTGATAAAGGCAATTTGATGGTTATTTTGCAGCAGTACAACTCCTATTCCATAAACTGATGCATCAGTTTCTATAGTGAAGGGTTGCTGAAAGTCAGGTAATGCTAGAACAGGTGCAGAAGTTAATGACTGTTTGATGCTGTTGAATGCCTCCTCAGCTTTTTGTTCCCAAATGAAGGTTGTGTCTTTCTTCAACAAAGCAGTTAATGGAGAAGCCATTTTGCCATAGTTTCGGATGAACCTTCTGTAATATCCTGAGAGTCCCAAGAAGCCTTTAAGTTCCTTCACAGTAGTTGGTCTTTTCCATTTTTGAACAACCTCTATTTTACTTATATCAGGAGCAACACCTTCTTTAGTTATTATGTGGCCTAAATATTCGACCTGCTTTGTGCCAAAATTGCACTTCTTGTAGTTTAATGCCAATGTATTTGCCTCCAAGATTTGAAGAGTTTGCTCGAGACAATGAATATGATCTTCCCACGTTTTTGTATAAACCAAAATGTCATCAAAGAACACAAGGATAAATTTCCTTAGATGTTCTCTAAACAAGTCATTCATGAGGTTTTGAAATGTGGCAGGGGCATTGCTCAGCCCAAATGGAAGCACTACCCATTCATAGTGTCCACTATGAGTTCTAAAAGTTGTCTTTTGAATGTCATCTTCAGCCATTCTCATTTGGTTGTACCCACTCCTTAGATCCAACTTGGTAAAGTAAGTAGCTCCTTTTAATTCATCAAGTAGGTCTTCAATTAATGGTATAGGAAACTTATTCTTGATAATGGCAGCATTTAACTTTCTGAAATCAGTACAGCATCTCCAGGATCCGTCTTTCTTCTTCACCAACACCAATGGTGCGGAAAATGAACTACAACTCTCTCTTATAAATCCAGTGGATAACATATGCTTCACTTGTCTTTCAATCTCCTCTTTTTGTGCTCGAGGATATCTGTAAGGCTTCAAGCAAATAGGCTTCTCATTTGTGAGCTCAATTTTATGATCATATTTCCTGTTAGGTGGTAATTGAGTAGGTTCAACAAACAAGCTACTGTATTCTTGTAACAGGTTCTCCAATTCCAGCTGCTATTGTTCATCCAAATCACCAGTATTTTTAGGTATTATGATGTTAAAACAGAGAGGACCAATGATAGGAAATAACATTGCCTGAATATCAATTGCTTTAAGTTTTCCACTATCCTGTAGCAGTAACTTGTTCTGCGTCTCTCCTTGTAATGTTATAGTGTTCCCTTCATGCTGGAATTTCATGGTTAACTTAGCACAATTCCAAGCAATTTCACCCAATGTTCGAAACCATTGCATGCCAAGGATTATGCTGAATGTTGTGCCCGGTAATACTAGAAAATCTGGTGTAAAACTGTGTGCACCAAATTTCCAAGTTAGCTTTTCGCATTTCCTTGAGATCGTAATAGGTGTGTCACTAGTAACTACAACTGGAAAATCTTTAACAGGTTGAGTTTTTAAGCTCAGTAGCTTCACCCACTTAGCACTGATGAAGTTATGAGTGCTTTTGGTGTCCATTAGGAAAGGTACTGCCTGTTTTTTAATGAGACCTTGCAACTGAAGTGTGTTGCCACCTGCTATACCCCTCAAAGCATGTAAAGAAACATGCACATTATCACTATGCAGCATTGCTAAACTGTTTTCTACTATAGATTCAGCATCTTCATCTTCACTAACATCTGTGTTTTCTTGATTGAAGTTTTCTTGGGCACAAAAAATCGCATTTAATTTTCCTCAAACTTTACATCTCGATCTATGATTTTTCTCCCACTTTTCACCACAAAATCTACACAATCCTTTGGAGATTCTCTCACTAGCCTCTTTTATAGATGAAATAGAAGTTGATCTTCCCTTAGAGTCCGGATAAGCTTGATTAGTAGTGGAATTCTGAGAGTGATTTTGTAGTGTTGTGATGGGTGGATTTCTGGATGTGAATGGTTGATTAAGCCATGGTCTTGTGTAGCGAGGTTGCACATTGGAAGTTACTGATTTCTCTGTACAGATCTTCTTGTCTAATTCTTTATTAATATCATCCTGTAATCGTGTTAGACGTATTTCTTCTTGGATGGATTTGAGGTTATGAAGACGAACTGATTTCTCTAAATGGCTTTCCAAACCTGCGAGGAAGAAACTGAGAGTCATGCCTTCAGAGATCACCACACGCGCTAGCAAAGAATCAAAATTTTCAAGATATTCAGGCAAAGATTCTTGTTGTCGTAAACGCGAGATTTCAACAATAGGGTCATCGTAGGCTCCATCATCAAATCTGTTTCCTACATCAAGCAAGATATCGGTCCAAGATTTCGACCTGAAGCTGGAGTTTTTTATGTAATGTCGTTGTCATGCAAAGGCGTTACCTTCCATGGATAACAAGAGCAATTTCCCTCTTTGGTTCATTGGTGTTCCTTCTAATTCAAAAAATTGTTCTGCTTTGGCTCGCCAAACCCTAAAGTTTGTGCCATAAAAACTGGGAAATTGAAGTTGTGCGCGATGTAATACTGACGTAATAGATTCGCTTTCATCGTCGTTCGGAGGTGGAATGTTGGTTCCCGCTGTTAACGCCGCCACGGAAGCTGCTAGAGTCTCCATAGTTTTCTGCATCGCCAGCAATATCTTATTTGTTTGTTCTTGTGAATCTGCAAGAGATTTCTCAAAGGATTCCACACGCGTTTTGAGTTCCTTGTTGGTCACCATGATCGTTGCCTTTTAACTGGTACCAATTGTAAAGAAAGATTCTTGTCTTTTCCTACCTCTCTCTTCTTCTCTGATGTACAAAGATGAACAAGAAACAAACTTCTTTTTTAATTTCTGAATGATGATTGACTTTACAAAGAATGACTTATTTATAGTCTTTGGTCCCTATAAATCTTATCTAATTTCCACTTTTATTTGGAACTAACTATTAAAAGATAAAATAGAATTAATAATAAAATGACATATGACATTGAGAGTATCAGAAATCATTATAAATGATAAGCTAGTTCATAGTTTTAATTGATTTCACTGTATTCCATCTATCAAACTAATAAGAAAATTTATTGATTAGTTTTGCTATCAATATAATATAAGGCGTAATGACTTTTTTAATATGATATGATACATAAAAATATTATAAAAAAGATAATAAATATTAATAAAATGTTTGCAAAACAGTGGAGTTCTTGTATTCTTTAATAACCTCTTTTCTTGGTACAAACATATCAATTTGACCCTCATATATTAATATTATCCTCTGAATGAAATAATCGAGTTGCATGCGAATCTCTACTTTTTATTGAGGTTTTGCTTTCTGATTCTGTTGTCAAGGTCACATCTTGATGGCAACTTTTACACAGTTTGGATCTTTCAATAGTTCAAATGCTTTGTTAATATCTTCTAAAGGGACCTCATGGGTGAATAGTTCTTGAAGAGGGAATTCCTGTAAATTAGGAAATTGTCACTCAGTTAAATATCTTTTCCATGACATAAAATATACGCAACAAATAACTTAAGAAAAATGTTACTAGTTTAATGAATTAAATGTTGATGGTAAAAGGTTGCCTTTTTTAGGCATTTGTTAGCTACCGTGGACAGGTCAGATATGGGTTTTAGGCCCCCCAAAACAGAACCTTTCAAAGTTCTGCCGTACAAAATGGATAGAACACCAAATGGGATAATAGGTTCTGTTCCTGCACCAATTGCTATTGTTTTACCCTTTCCCTTTCATGTACACAAGAAATAATTAAGAACATAAAATTACAAGGATAAGGGAAATTAAAGGAGCACAATAGTATGTGTAGAGTGTCAATTATTAAGAGATGTTTGATCCAAAAACATATGAAAACAAGAACATGAGAAGAAGAAACTCACCACTTTTGTAGCTTCCAATGATTCAGTAAGTAGAGGGGCAATTCCAGTGCACTCGAAGGAATAATCCACACCCATTCCACCACTTAGTTCCTTCACCAATTCTGAAACAGATTTAGCAGAATCACCAGGGTTTATAAAGTGAGTCATTCCACAAGCCTCTCCTTTTTCTCTCTTCTTCTCATTTTTGTCAATTCCAATTATCTTAGTTGCTCCCATGATTTTGGCTCCACTTACAGCCTGCAACACCGAGGTCAATATTACTTTTAATCAAAATTCAAGCTTCAAATTTAGAAAGACAATCCAACACAAAAATATATACCCCTAATCCAACAGCCCCAAGACCAAAAACAGCTACAGAGGATCCACTTTCAACCTTGGCTTCCTTCCAAACAGCTCCAAAGCCAGTTGAAAACCCACATGAGATGAAACTGGCATGGACTGGATCAATGGTTGGATCAACTTTTAAAATGTAATTGACATCACTAACCATGTATTCTGACCATGTGGCACAACTTAAAACATAGTGTAGCCTCTGTCCTCGGATGGACATCCTTGAAGTGTTGTCTGGTAGTAAACCAGTCAATCTTAAAGGATATGTCAGACATAAATTGGTTTTTCCTGAAACACAATTCTCACATGTTTGACACTCCCCTATATATGTTGGGATTACCATATCCCCCTCTTTAAAGGTTGTCACTTGATCACCGACACTCTCTACAATCCTGAAATTAAAGCAGACATGAAATTGATTGAAGATATAATTCAGTTCAGTCACAATAAGAACAACAAAAAAGTTAGAATCTCTTGACATTTCATTTCAAAAACCAATTTAGAGATGGGAATTTCTCTCTCATTACATATTTCATTGTAGTCATATTACTGTGCTAGTGAACATAATATGTTAAAGAAAAATGTATGATGGTATTTGTGGAGCTTACCCAACTCCTTCGTGTCCAAGTGCTAGAGGAAAATTGATCTGCAATCAATTTGTTTGTGGTAAGACATTAGTGGAAGAAAGGTGAAGAAAATCAAACTGTAACATTTTTAATTATTCTGAGAAAACAAAACTCAGACTCAAATCATAAAATTGAGAAGACTAACAGATGGGAATCCTTGAATGCTTGATATGTCTGTGTGGCAAATACTGGCAGTGAGCATCTTAACTCGAACTTCAGTTGCTTTTGGTGGGTCAACTTCTATCTCTTCCACTGTAACCGGGTGTCCTATTCCCCAGCATATGGCAGCTACAATACCAAAACCAAAATTTTAACACACATACCAGAAGCCAGAGACATGTTACAACCTTTGCATGATTAACAAAGTCACATGAATATGGAAGTGAGAAACAAATTTGATAGATGATACCTTTACATGTAAGAACCTGCGAGGTGCTTGACATTGTAGATTGAAAACGCAGTTTCTTAATTAAATCAAACCAATGTTGTTTTAACTTCTAAGGGTGCTACTGCATGCCCTCCTTTTTATAATAGAAAAGGAATAGCCGTCAGAGATGTAACTCTACGCAGGTTTAAGGGGCCAATTATTTTATAGATATATTTATATTACTAGTTCATCATTAAAAGAAAAAAAAATAGCTCTTTATATATCACATTGCAAACCAAAAATTCAATTTTGGTTTCATTCTCTCTTATTTGATTTCCTAAAGGTTTTCTTTTATTTGACTTTTTAGTTTGTTGTATATTAAATTGCAAACCAAAAATTAAGTTTGTCTCTATCTCACTATGTATATAGACCTAAAAACCCTTCATTTAATGAAACTAGATAGTACTCATTTTTTATATATTGCAGTATTCAATTCAACTTATTACGATTCAATTTTAATTAGAAATATTTTTGGTAGTTAAGATTAACTAAAAAATAATATTATTCATTTTAATTAATGAAGGGAAAAAACAAAGTCTTATCTCATTTAATTTACATATAAAAACTTTAGAAAAAAAATGATAAAATAAACAACACCAAAACAAAATTTTCAGTAAGATCTTAACTATCAAATTATTCTAAAGTTTATCAATTTACTTGGATAGCCATTGAATTGATAAGATGATTTGCTCTTATATTTTATGTTTACACGAATTTTAATATATGAAAAAAAAATCCAGCCATACTATCATTAAATGATGGTCCAATAATTGAATAGGATAATATTAATAATAAGTCCGCATGAATTTTATTTAACCACTTCGTACTACTTAAGCCACCGGATTGGAACACATTCTATAATTAATCGGAATAATATAACTATTGGTCAACAAGGAAAAAGTTTTATAATTAAAAATTATAGATTTAATATTTTAAATAATTGAAATTATTATCAAATATGAAGACACTAATATTATAATAGTTGTTTTAAAGTGCTCATCCCAGGAATTGGAATAAAAAAATTCAGGTTCACTGGATTCTCCCACTTCTTTCCGGTCACGGTTGTTTGACTTTTCTTTTTCAACGATAACAAATATTTTAATTTTAATTTTTTTAAGAAAAATAATAATGGTATTTTTCATTTATTTTATTAATAAAATTATTTTTAATTTTTTAATCATTCTAAAACTAATGTTAATACAGACGAAGTATTAATAATGGAGATTCCATAAATTACATTTAAAGGTCTAGTATATGTTGTTTTCTATAAAAAAATATTAGTATTATTTTCACTTCTATAAAGGTGAAACATATTTTTAGGATTTTGTAAAATTTATTAATGTTTTGAGCTTAGACGTAGAATTTATACTAAAAAAAATAGTGTAGTGTTAGTCATATATTTAACTAAAATCACTTTTAAATAATTATTCACTCTATTATGTTATTTTTATTTAAAAGTCATAAAACAAGGAGTAACCAACACAAAAGTAAAAGTAAAAATGGAAAGATGGAAAAGAAAAAAAAAGTCATGAAACAAGGAGCCAACAACATAAAAACAAGAATGAAAAGGTAGAAAAGAAAAAAATCATGAAACATAGAACATGTTTCGTTCCTTAATTTATGGAATGCATAGAAATACATCTTCAACTATAAATTGAAGTCTTCCCTCATTCTTAGGATGAAGAAAAACATAAATGCAATCCAAAGAGAAAGAGCCACCAAGAAGCAGAGAAAATAGTTTTAGTTAGTGTATTTTCCTTTCTCCTAATAAAAGATCTACAGTAGTCCGAAGACGTAGGAATTTTTGGCTGAACTCCGTTATTAATTGGTGTGTACAATTATTCCGCTTTTATTTCACTTTCACATATCTAACTTCATAGAAAAGTTTGTCATTTTTCTTTAACAACTGGTATCAGAGTTAGTTGTTAGTTCTACAATTTTTTCTACTATTCATATGAATGGTAATGGTCCTATTCATGAATAGTGAAATTACTATTTCGTGAATAGTAAAAGGAAATTGTCAGAAATGATCCAGAAAATTCAAACCTAAGTTAGAGTGATGACTGGAGATAAAGGAAAAATGAAAATTGATAAGTTTGATGGTGCGGACTTTGGCTTTTGAAAGATACAGATCGAGGATTATCTGTATTAGAAGGATATGTATCAACCACTCACAAAAAAGAAGCCGGATGATATGAAATAGAATGAATGGATTCTTCTCGACATAAAGACTATTGAAGTCATTTGGCTGACGTTATCCCGTAATGTTGCTTTTAACATTGTAAAAGAAAAGACTACAATAGATCTTATGGATACTTTTTCCAACATGTACGACAAACCATCAGCCTCAAACAAAGTTCATTTGATGAGGTGGTTGTTCAACCTACGGATGATTGAAAGCGCTTCAACGGTGCAACATATCAATGAACTCAACACTGTTACAACTCAGTTGAGTTCAGTTGGGATTGAATTCGATGATGAAGTACAAGCTTTAATACTTTTATCTTCTCTACCAAAAAGTTAGAATGCTACTGTCACAGTTGTGAGTAGCTCATCAGGAAGCAATAAGTTAAAATTTGATGATATTCGTAATTTGGTTCTCAGTGAAGAGATCTGGCGAAGGGAGTCGGGTGAATCATTAACCTCTTTAGTATTGCATACACAGTCAAGAGGAAGAAGTTTGACCAAAGAAAGCGGACGTGAAAAATCAAAGGGCAGAAGACCCAAGTCCAGAAATCATCGTAGTTCCCAAAACTCGAAGAAAATCAAGTGTTAGAATTGTGGGAAAATCGGGCACTACAAAAATCAGTGCAAGAGTGTACAGAAGAATCAAGAAGCAAATGTTGTCTCTATCTCAGGGAAAGATGATGTGTTGATATGTTCTTTAGAAAGCAAGGAAGAGTCTTGGGTGTTAGACTCTGGAGCATCTTTCCATGCTACCTCACAGAAGCAACTGTTAGAGAATTATGTTCTCAGAAACCTTGGTAAAGTTTACCTTAGTAATGAGCAATCATGGAAATTGTAGGTAAAAGTGTTGTAAAGATTAAGTTGAACGGGTCTGTATGGGAATTGAAAAATGTTAGACATATTCCTGACCTAACAAAGAACTTAATCTTAGTGGGTCAATTAGCCAGTGAAGGCTACACGACAATCTTCCATGGTGATGATTGGAAGATCTCAAAGGGTGTGATGACAATTGCTCGAGGCAAAAAAGAGTGGTTCTTTACAAGATAGCATAAGCATGTCATTTTATTGCAGTCGCAGCAAATGAAAAGACCAATCTATGGCACCAAAGACTTGGGCATGTGAGTGAGAAAGGGATGAAGATCATGCACTCAAAAGGAAAACTACCAGGTCTTTAGTCAGTAGAAATTGAGATCTGTGAGGACTGCATACTTGGAAAGCAAAAGAGAATTAGCTTTCAGGCAGGAAAAAGAACCCCAAAGAAAGAAAAGCTTGAGCTTATCCATTCTGATGTTTGGGGTCCAACGACAGTCTCATCCATTGGTGGGAAGCAATACTTCGTAACTTTTATCGATGATCACTCTAGAAAGGTATGGGTATACTTTCTGAGACATAAGTCTGAAGTATTTGAGGCTTTCAAGATATGGAAAGCTATGGTAGAAAATGAGACATGATTGAAGATTAAAAAGCTCTGAACCAACAATGATGGTGAATATGCAGACACCAGATTCAAGAAGTTTTGCTATGAGTACAGAATCAAAATGGAAAGGATCGTGCCAGTTACACCTCAACACAATGGTGTAGCTGAGCGTATGAATCGAACGTTGACTGAAAGAGCCAGAAGCTTGTGTGTGCAATCAGGCTTACCAAAGGAGTTTTGGGCGGAAGCAGTCAATACAACAACTTACTTGATCAACCAAGGTCCATCAGTACCATTGGAGTACAAGATACCAAAAGAGGTATAGAGCGGAAAAGAAGTAAAACTCTCACATCTTAGAGTTTTTGGTTGTATATCATATGTCCATATCATTGATCAAGGCAAAAACAAACTTGATCCAAAATCAAAGAAGTGTATTTTCATTGGTTATGGTGAAGATGAGTTTGGCTACCGCATATGGGATAATGAAAACAAAAAAATGATCCGCAGCAGAGATGTAATCTTAAATGAAAGAGTGATGTACAAGGACATGCATAAAACATGTATCAACAACTCAGAGTCAAATGGGCCAGTTTTTACAGAGGTGGAAGATGTCCCAAAAAGTCCTATAGTGAGGAGTTCTCAATCAGCAAAATCAAATAAAGAAAACAATGTGTAACTAAAACCTCTTACTCCAACTCCTAAATTAAGAAGATCATCTCACCCTGATGTACCAAACAAGAGATACATGGATTACATGTTGTTAACTGATGGAGGGGAGCCTGAAGATTATATGGAAGCTTGTCAAACCACGGATGCTAGCAAGTGGAAACTTGCCATGAAAGACGAGATGAAGTCTTTAATCTCCAATTAGACATGGGAAATAGTCAAGTTACCTATAGGAAAGAAAACACTTCACAACAAATGGGTGTATCAGGTTAAGGAAGATCATGATGGTTCCAAGAGATACAAAGTCCGACTGGCTGTCAAAGGATTTCAGCAGAAAGAAAGAGTTGACTACACTGAAATATTTGCTTCAGTTGTAAAGCTCAATACTATCAGGATTGTGTTAAGTATTGTGGCTAGTGAAAAGTTCTACCTAGAGCAATTACATGTGAAGACTGCATTTCTTCACGGAAACTTGGTTGAGGCGATCTACATGCACCAGCCTGAAGGTTTTTTAGAAGAAAAGAAGAAGAACATGGTGTGCAAATTAAAGAAGAGCTTGTACGGTCTACAACAAGCTCCAAGACAGTGGTATAAACAGTTTGAAAGTTTCATGCACAAGGAAGGTTTCCAGAAGTGCAATGCTGATCATTGTTGTTTCTTCAAGAGGTATAAGTCCAGTTATATCATATTGATACTTTATGTTGATGACATGTTAGTAGCAGGTTCAGATATGAAAGATATTAGAA